GCTCCTGCAGGAGATCGCCGGCAGGGTCAGGATCGCTGCCATCAGTCAGAGCTGGCTTCTTCCTCATGGAGGGAAGGAAAAGCTGTAGAGGAAGAGATCACAGGAACATCAAAGCTAGGCCAGCCTGCACACCTGATCATCTCCTTCTACGGACACTTCACATTGTTCCCTGGCAGATTTCTGCAACAGGAAAAAAGAGTGTCTATCTCAGTAGGACGCCCAAATAATCTGAATCCATAAAGCCTTCTGTGTATTTTTCTGTATTTTTGTGATGGTACTGAAGCTTTAATTCAGGGTCTGGAGACTGTCCCTTAGTTCTTTTAAGTCAAGGCTAGCACTCTACCAGTTAAGCCACAGCTCAAGTTTGGATGAAAAGGGCATTCAAACCCAATATGGTGGTGCATATTATGTATGTATGCTCATTGGGAGTCTAATCCAGAAGAATACAAGTTGGAAGCCAGCCGAGGCTATACAGAAAAACCATGTCTTAAAACTGTTTTAAACAAAAAAACAGAGCTGGGAGTGTAGCTCATTGATAGAACCTAGCATGTGCCATGTCATGGGCTCAGTCCCCTGTATTAGAAAAAAAAGGAAAAGGGCATGCAACTTGTGCTATTTAATTCTGGGGACCTAGGGTCACAGCATTAGAATCCAGCTATTCCAAGCAGGGCGTAGGGGGCTCACTCCTACTGAGGAGACTGAGATGTGGGGATTGCTGTTCAAAGCCTCCAGGCAGTAAAGTCCATAGGGCTCATCCCCAATTAACCTACTGAGGAGACTGAGATGTGGGGATTGCTGTTCAAAGCCTCCAGGCAGTAAAGTCCATAGGGCTCATCCCCAATTAACCAGCAAGAAGCCGGAAGTGGAAATGGAGCTCAAGTGGTGGAACACTTGTCTTCAACTAAAATGCTCAGGGACAGCGCCCAGCCTCCTGAAGGTTGGCTACATAGAATTCCAGGAAGCATCGGGCTGGGGTGCACACTCCTTCCACGAGCCGGCGGAAGCCCTGGGGGCAGAGGCACGCGCAGCGCGCTCGGGAATCTAGGGCTGTGGTCCGGGCTCTAGGACTGCCCGGTGCAAAGCCGCGGAGCAGGGCCTCAGCGGGAAAGGTTCCAGCGGCCAGGGTCAGCACCCCGGGTCACCACCCATCCCACCTGGCCAGCCCGGGGCTGCGGGGTGGGGCCTCTGCGAGCGCAGCCCACGGGGCGCGGCCTCGCGCGCGGGGGCGGGGCTTGGGGAGGGCGCGGTCTCCGGAAACCGAGGAGCCGGGCTCAGGTCGGCATTGCTCCGGCGAGCCCCGGCTCCCCCGGGAGGAGTTAGCGCCCTCGCGGCTGTCCCTCCTACCTGCCGGCGGGAGAAGAGCGCGGTCCCTGGCTGCAGCACCCGGGAGCCACATCGCTGGCACAGCACCGCCTTCCGGTTTCGGCCGTCAGCTGAGACGAGGTCGTTCGGCTGCTCCGCGGGTTCCATCGCCACCACCGCAGCCGATCAGTCAGGCTGCGCACGCGCGGTCTCTGCAGTTCTCTCCTTACTGCGCACGCGCGGCCGGGGGGGGGGGGGGGGCGGGGCTGAGGCCGCGCCGCTTTCCTAGCTCTGCCTGCGCTGGACTCTGCTGCGCACGCGTGCTCATTCATTTACACACCTCCCAACACCCCCCTCCCCCCCCAGCCCGTAGAAGGCTTTGTGACAGCGGCACTTCCTGGGACCAGAGACAGATCCTTTTTCTGGTCGACAGGCTTCCCCTAACACTCAGGTCTAGACAAATGAGTCACTTAAGGATGTCCTTACCCTTTCGTTTTCTGATTCAGTGGTCTTGTACATGGATGAGGACAATACTGGGGTAATGTGGAGTTGGAGAGATCTAGGGTGGACTTCCCCTCAGCAAGACTTAGCCACAACAGCTTCGTGTATAGAAAACAATTTAGGGTGCTGTGCACCTTTTGAAAGTGGGGAAAAGATGCGTAGATTTGCTAATCTGTTCCAATCATAGTAACCATTTACTGTGTGGCGGAGTATTCCAGTTCTTTGGGGGAACCTGTGAAATCATTTCCCTTACATTAGTTTGCACTCACCACCGGAAGGCAAAGATGGAGAGGTTACTTTCCACCGGCCATATGTATATCCAGATGCAGCACGAAAGCTGCTTCTCCTAATTCTAATTGGTCTGCATCACCAGCTTAGTTCTGGTGCAGTAGGCTGCAGGGGTTCTATAGTGGGCAGCGGGAACAGAGTGACCATATGAAGCTCTCCACCCAACATCCTAGTATTTCATAAGTTACTATGCTACACTCTACACTCTGAGGATATAGTGACAGGCACCTTGTAGATGAGAATACAGCCTAAACAGGGAGTCCCAACCACCCCCCCCCCCACCCTGTGATACAATCATCACAGGAACAAAGCTGTAAATGGAAGCACAGATTAAGGAGTAATTCTGACTGGGTGTGGGGGGAGGTGGTGTTTAAAGCTTTGTCTAAGTAATATTTTAATTAGGCATTAAAAAGTGACTGCCAGCCAGGCACTGGAGGTTCACACCTGTAATCCTAGCTACTCAGGAGGCTGACAGCAGAGGATCTTAGTTCTAAGCCAGCCCTGGGCAGGGAAGTCCATGAGACTCTTATCTCCAATAAACCACCAGAAAACCAGAAGTGGCACTATGGCTCAAGGATGTAGAGTACTAGCTTTGAGTGAAAAAGCTCAGGGACAATGCCCAGGCCCCCACAACCGACCGGAAAAAAAAAAAAAAAAAAAGGGGGTAGAGTGGGACCAGATCATTGGTTTAGAATTTGAATTTTATAATACAGGCAAATGAGACTCCACAAAAGTTGAACATAAAAAGCTTGAGCATCAGGGGCTGGGAAGGTGGCTCAGTGGTAGAGCTCTTACCTTGCATGCATGAGGTCCTGGGTTCAATTCCTTAGCACCACATAAGCAAAAAGAAAAAAGCCAGAAGTGGTGCTGTGGGTCAAGTGGTAGAGCACTAGCCTTGAGCTGAAGAGCTGAGGGACAGTGCCCGGGCCCAGAGTTCAGGCCCCACAACTAGATCCAAAAAACAACAACAAAAAACTTGAGCATCAATAATCTGCTGTACATTAAGTACTATAATGATGACAATCAGAAAGATAAGTGATGACAAAATGGAAAGACTAGATGGTAAGAGAGGAAAAGAAGAGTCGATATCAGACCATTTCTATAATAAAGTCCTGATTGTTCTGGTAGCAGACGGAGCAAAAATGAGGGAAAGGATTTGGAACAAATGAAGACAATTTGTGTAGAACGTATAAACTGATGAGGATGACAGTCAGAAGCTTCTCCAGGCTAGGAAACTCAAATGGCTGCTTGGTAGTTGTGGGAAGTAGGAAAATAAGAGGAACCCTCAAATTAGTGGGTGATGGCATGGGAAGGCGTGAAAAATGGAAAAGGAGCAGTGAGTTTTTGTTCATTTGTGGCTTCTGGTGTGGGATCTTATCTGAAATTCAGATATCAGCACTGAAGACAGTCAGAAAGCCAGTCCTCAGCTCCCCCTGGAGACAGGTGTCACATTTCATAAGCAATGATTCAATTAGTGGGCATAACAGTTGCCACAAAAAATTTTAGAAAGCGAAAATGACTTCCTCATCTGGGCATAGTGGCTCACACCTGATATCCCAACACTTGAAGACAGGCAGAAGCTGATGGCAAGCTGGAGGCCAGCTATCAAGACTCTATGTACAGTTCACTTGCTTTTTGTTTGGAGGGGGGAAGAGTCAGTTGTGGGGCTTGAACTGAGGGTCTGGAAACTAACTGTCCGCAAGTTTTTCTGCTCAAGGCTAGCACTCTGCCACTTTGAGCCACAGTTTTACTTCCAGATTACTGGTAACTGGTGGTTACCTGGAGATAGAATCTCACGGGAACCATGAACCCCTTCCCCATCTGGCCCTGTTCCCCTTGTGAAACAAATTACCCTGACCTCTGTCCTGCCTAACTTAACTTTACTGCCTGATGAAAAGGAACCCTAGGGCTGGGAAGGTGGCTCAGTGGTAGAGTGATTACCTAGCATGCATGAGGCTCTGGGTTCGATTCCGCAGCACCACATAAATAGAAAAAGCTGGAAGTGGTGCTGTGGCTCAAGTGGTAGAGTGCTTGCCTTGAGCTGAAGAGCTCAAGGACAGTGCCCACGCCCAGAGATCAAGTCCCACAGCCAAAAAAAAAAAAAAAAAGGAACTCTAGTTATAAAGGAAGTGCTCCATTTTCTCTTCAGCCTGGCTGAAGGGCACTTAATGCCCTTCCAGATTTCATTTTAAATAAAATCTGGTCATCTCTTGAGTTTTTAGTCTCATGGCCAGGCACTGTAATTCTAGCTACTCTGGAGGCTGAGATCTAAGTATCCCAGTTTGAAGCCAGCCCCAGCCCTGGCAGGAAGATCCAAGAGACTCTTATCTCTAATCAACCACCAGAAAACTAGAAGTTGCTCAAAGTGGTAGAGTGCTAGCCTTGAGCAAAAGAGCTCAGGGACCATTGCACAGGCGCAGTCCAAGTTGACTAACCAAAAACAAAAAGACAAAACAAAACACCTTCCTGGAGTTTCCTGCCCAAGCTGGCTTCAAACTGTGATCTTCATATCTCAGCTTCCTGAGTACTAGGATTACAGATGCAAGTTACCAGCACCCAATTCAGTTTCTTTTCACTCTAGGATATTTTTTTGTAGTTTTTTAAGCTAATTTATATCATATGCTATAAATGGAAATAAACATGAAGATTGGGGTGAATAAAGCCCTAAAAGTTAAGTGAGTACAAAATGCTTCTTTAATTCACTTTGATTCTCAAGTAAACTCCAAATGTGAGAAGAGCCAATAAATTTGAAAAATTTAGGGAACTCTTCCACTGAAGAGACTCTGCACAGTGGTACAGTGTTTCCTCTTACCAATGTCTAACAGAAACAGCAGAGCTAGTAAGCAAACATGAGGTGAACAGGCTGATTTCTGAAGGCAGAGCTAGTTAGCCACAAACTCTCTTAAAAGTATTTGAAACAGCCGATTTTTATTATTTTCTTAAAAAAATACAAAGGAAATTAACTCCATAGGTCAATACAACTTAGGGACAGCGGGAAAAAATGGAATTCCAGAGCAAAGGGAAAGGGCAACCTTGTTAGGTTATCACATTCCCAAACTGCCAGCACTCATAAAGCAAGAAATCACTGCAAGATATAGAGGAGCCTTGAAGAGCAGCTCAGAAATAGCGATAGCACAGGTACTGGAACGAACAGAAATATTTTGGTTGTCCTTAGTTATCCTGTCTTGAGATGAATACAATTCATTCCAAAGACAACAAAGTGTAACTTGTAGCAGGAAGAGGACTAAACCACCACACACAGCAGGAAACACACTCCTCAGCAGAAGTAAACCCTTGAAAGAATGAGGCAGTAATCAGGTAGCTGAACTTCTGGGTTGCTGACACCCCCAACCCATCCCCAAATAAATAAGTGTGGAGTGTAGTAATATAGCAGTATGTGATTCAACAACAACAACAAAAGATGGTCATTTACCCATTCAAGACAAATAGTGCTATGGCTGCATGAGCCCTGGCAGGGAGTAAGACATTGTAGTTTATCCCCAGGTACACTGAATTCCCGCACTTCTGTCCTCTCCTCTCTCAACAATGGATTCATCTGTAATCTCTGACAGTCTTCAGTGCCAAGATGCTCACCACTCTACTTTAGAAAGACCTTGGGGAAATAAAAAGATCCTTCCAACAGTACATCCTTCTCGGTCCTCCAGGCTCCCTTCAGCGGTGCTCCAGGCTCACTTGCGTCCCATGGAGTTCATTTGCAGGTTACTTTCTCTACCCTCAGTTTTTGGTGTACCAACCCTGTTCCCTAAGAGAGCATAATATGAATCTCTCCCCTTAACCTCCAACTTGATAGGCTCTCCCTTCATTTTCCTCCAGAATGGAATTGTGGTGCCTCTAGCTACCTGTAGGTTAGAAAACATATTTGTTCATGGAAAAAAGATTGAAAAGGAAAGACCTGGCTTTTACCAAGTTATGCAAGTTGGCATCCTTCCAATGATCTAGGCTGGTTACTGTCTGTCCCCTGTAGCAGGCCATACTCAAGAGTTCTCTGCAATATACGAGGCACAACGTACACATATACATATATTCTCCCAAGCACAAGGTACATGAGAAAGGACAAGGAAGTGCTCCCCAGACCAGAGGGAGGCAAGGCCTGGTCTCACACCCGTTCAATGTACATTCTCTTCCCTGGAGCATCTGTGACTCACCCTTCAGAGGGATACCATCAGCACGAGAGAGAGAGAGAGAGAGTGGGTCAGTCAAATACGTACAATCATCACTGCACTGGTGCCTGTAATCACCCTGTGCACACAGTGAGAAATAGACATTCTGGAAAGGATCCTTGGTTCTCCCACAAAGTGTCCCTGGGACTGGTTGCTAGCTCCGGATGCTGCTCCGACAGTGGTCACTTTTCTCGGAGTACACACACCCCCGCGTCACAGCGCTGGGTTCCCATGGACGTCACCACTTCCCAGCTGTCAATGACAGGATCATAGCACTCGATGCTACTCAGCAGGGAATTCCCATCATATCTGAGGGGGAAAAGCAACAGAAAGGAATGAGCTACCTAGTCCTTCTAATACACGTCCTTAGTAAAGTCATCCCTGGCAATGTCTCCCCCAACCCAAACCATGACTTCCAAAATGAGGACGGCCTCACAGATACTCTTGCCCTGGAGGCATGATGATACCCTAGTTGTCTCTGAATCCTCACCCTGCAATTGCATAGAGTCTTCCCCGAAGCACTGTGGCCCCTACATAGCATCGTGGAGTGGTCATACTAGTGACAGTTGTCCAGGAATCAGTGCAAATATTGTAAGCTTCAACAGAAGAGAGGTGGGCTGTACCATCAAATCCCCCCACCACATAAATATGGTCATTCAGTAGGGCCACTCCAGCACCTGGGGAAAAAGAGGGTATTAGCAAATGAATGTTACTAAGTCTAGCATCTGAATTTTAAAACAACATAGTCACTAACAGCTAGATTCTGGGGTAGCTAAGAGATATGGGCATGGTCCAGACAGGTTTAGAGTAATACAGTATAGCACAAGTCACTCCATCTGTGAACAAACTGGAACTATCCTCTTCTTCACTTAGACACTCAGAGCCCTCCAGAAAAGGAAGGAAAGAAAAGGGAAGGGAAGGGGAGGGGAGGGAGGAAGGAAAGAAGGGAATCAGCACAGGTAAAAGGAAGAAAAGGACTTGTGACTATGGTTCTGGGGCATTTTTATCTAGAGGACAGATACAAACTAGAGTTGTATAGTGCTTTTTCTTTCTTCTCAGCCTAGTCCACATCAAAAAAGGGATAGGGATTTAGCTCAGAAGCAGAGTACTTCATTTCCATAAACAAGGCTCTGGGTTCAGTTCCCAGTACCAATTTTTTTTTTTATTTTTTTGGGTCCGGTTGTGGGGACTGAACTCTCAGCCTGGGCGCTGTCCCTCAACTCTTCAGCTCAAGGCTAGCGCTCTACCACTTGAGCCACAGCACCACTTCCGGCTTTTTTCTTTTTGCTTATGTGGTGCTGAGGAATCGAACCCAGGGCCTCAGGCATGTAAGGCAAAGCACTCTACCACTGAACCACCTTCCCAGCCCCCCAAATTTTTTATTTACCTCTCAGTGACAGTAATAGATACTCATTATATAACACTAAAGATGATTTTTTTTTTTTTTTTTTTTTTTGGCCAGTAATGGGGCTTGAACTCAGGGCCTGGGCACTATCCCTGAGCTTTTTTGCTCAAGGCTAGCCCTCTACCACTTGAGTCACAGCTCCACTGCTGGCTTTTTCTGTGTATGTGGTACTGAAGAATCCTATGCCTATGTGCATGCTAGGTGAGCATCCTACCACTAAGCCACATTCCCAGACCCAAGATTATGTTTAATAAACATTTACTTATCAGTACTCAATACACAAAATTATACCAGGTAAATGAAAGAAGGAGAAAAAAAAAGCAAAGCACAGGGGCTCATGTCTATAACCCAGCTACTCAGAAGGGGAGGATGGTGGTTCAAGGCCAGCCCAGGAAAAGGTATTTGAAATCCCATGTCAACAAATAAGCCAGGTATGACGGTACATGCCTGTCTTCCCAGATACATGAGATGTGTAAATAAGAGGATCCAGGCCAGCCATAAACATAAGACTCTATTTGAAAAATAGCTAATGGGGCTGGGAAGGTAGCTTAGTGGTAGAGTGCTTGCCTAGCATTCACTAAGCCCTAGATTCTAATCCTCAGTAGCACATAAACAGAAAAAAACAGAAGTGGCCCTGTGGCTCAAGTAGTAGAGTGCTAGCCTTGAGTAAAAGCAGCTCAGGGACAGTGCCCAGGCCTTGAGTTCAAGACCCAAGACTGGCAAAAATGAATTAAATTTAAAAAATATATATGTATCTTAAAAAGGATTTGGGAGGGGGATCAAGGAGGGGAAATTGTACAAGTGGTAGATCACCTGTCAAGCAAGTGACAAAATGAATTCAAACTCAAGTTTTGAAGAGAGAAAAATTCAGAAAAAAGCTGCTTTCCTCAAATTTACAATCAAGTTAAAAGTTTTTGTTTTTTTTTTAATCATCACTAACATTTAGAGAAGAGAAATGCACAGAGAAGACTAGAATCTGACTCCTAATTTTATACAGGTTCCCAGGGAACAGGAACTACAACTCTGGTTCACTGACACTATTCTGTGACCACACTATCCGCCTGGTTTATCATGGGCGTCCTCAGATTTGGTCTTACCGGAGCGCTTTGTGGCCATTGGTGTAACATTAGTCCAGTGTCCTGTATGGGGATCATATTTCTCAACTGAATTTAAGATATTTAAGCCATCATATCCTCCTAGAAGACAAAGTAGAGATCATTCCAGAAAAAAGGGTAAGTCGAAGGTGGCCTTCTCTGAGTGCTTTACCTGATTCTGTTAATTTAATTTTGTTATTTTGTTCTAATAACCCAGAGAAAAACTAGTGTTCTACTTTTTTTTTTTTTTGGGTCCAGTCGTGGGGCCTGAACTCTGGGCCTGGGCGCTGTCCCTCAGCTCTTCAGCTCAAGGCTAGCACTCTACCACTTGAGCCACAGCACCACTCCCGGCTTTTTTCTTTTTGCTTATGTGGTGCTGAGGAATCGAACCCAGGGCCTCAGGCATGCAAGGCAAGCACTCTACCACTGAGCCACCTTCCCAGCCCTCTACTTTTTTCTGATAATGCCAGTTAATGAAGAATATACTGAGCAAGAGTATAGGCTGTGTAGAGGGACGCCTATAAACTTAATTCTGGCAAAAAAAAAAAAAAAAGAGGATCCACCCAGAGCCACCAACCCAGGTTCTCATCCCTTCATCCCACACTGAGTACCTAGACAGTATATCACTCCACTGGCTACAACCAGTCCTGCACCCTCTCGAGCTGTCTGCATATCTCCCAGCATGCTCCACTGGTCAATGTTTGGGTCATATCGCTCCATACTGGTATGACGCCTGCTTCCATCAAAGCCTCCAGAGACGTAGATCATATCTGTTCAGAATGAACAAATCACACACTATTAAATAAGGAGAACTCTTTTCTCTACAAATTCCCCACAGGTCCTTCAGATATCTGGAGGCATAGCGTAGTATTTCTCTTTTCTTTTTTCTTTTTTTTGTCAGTGATGGGGCTTGAACTCTGGGCCTGGGCGCTGTCCCCCTCAGCTCTTCAGCTCAATGCAAGTGCTCTACCACTTGAGCCACAGCTCCGCTTCCGGTTTTCTGAGTGGTTTATTGGAGATAAGAGTCTCAAGGACTTTCCTGAAGGGCTCAGATCTCAGCCTCCTGAGGAGCCAGGATTACAGGCGTGAGCCACTGATGCAGCATAGTATTTCTTCATGGGATAAATCATTTGAGTCTCAGAGACAAGAAAAATAGCACAGCTCAGACATTAAAAGAATTGCATAGGCTCGATGCGGTGGTGCATGGCTATAATCACTCATGATAGAATAGAGGCAGGAGGCTGAGCCTGGGTTGCATAGTAAATCAAAGGAGAAACTGGGCAGTGGAGATTCATATCTGTAATCCTCGCTACTCAGGAGGTCTGAGATCTGAGGACAGCAGTTTGAAGCCAGCTTGGGCAGGAAAGTCCACAAGACACATATCTCCAATTAACCACCTAAAAACTGGAAGTGGAGCTGTGGTTCAAAGTGGTAGAGTGCTAGTCTTTTTTTTTTTTTAATTAAGTTTTTTATTGTGAAAATACTGTATAGAGGGGTTACAGTTACATGAACAAGGTAATGAGTACATTTCTTATCCAGCATTGTTGTCTCCTTTGTTTTTCCCCTACCATCCCATCCCTCCCACCTCCTCAACTACACCCCTCTCTCCCCCCCAAGAGTGTTAGTCTTGAATAAAACAGCTCAGGGACAGTGCCTAGGCCCTGAGATCAAGTCCCCTGATTGACAGAAAAAGAAGAAAGAATAAAGAAGGAAGGAAGGGGGTAGGAGAATGAGAGGGGAGAAGGATGCTGTAAAAATAAAAATTTTATTTATTATTTTGGTGGTAGTGCTAAGGTTAAAATGCAAGACCTTGTACGTCCTAGGCTGGGATTCTACCACTTGAGCCATGCCTTCCTTCTTGCTTTTTGTTGGTTATTTGGAGTTGGTATAAGAGAACTTTTCTTCCCAGAACGGCCTTGAACCATGGCCCTCCAGATCTCAGACTCCTGAGTAGCTAGGATTAAAGAACCACTAACATCCAGCTTAAGATGAATTCTTAAAAGCATTTGAAGCCAGGTACTCCTGGTTCATCCCTGTAATCCTTACTACTCAAGAGGCTGAGATCTGAGAATCATGGTTCTAAGACAGCCTGGGGTAAGAAACAGAGCTGTGGCACAAAGTAGTAAAGTGCTAGTCTTGAGCGCAAAAGCTCAGGAACAATGTCTAGGCCCTCAGTTCAAGTCCTGAGACTGGTACAAAAAAAAAAAAAAGCATTTGAAGACTAACATAGTAATGTGTGAAATTACAATTAAGTGTTAGTTCCCGTATAATGCAATGGAACCTGAATGACCAATTCTGCAGTCAATGTTGAAATATTCACAATTATGAAACAGTTTCTGTAATTTGATATTTACAAAAGCAAAATGGAATATCTGATCTTACCAACTTATCCTCCATATTTCATACTCCTGCCAGACAATAAGAGAGGCAAGAATACTGACCAGCTACGAGATGGAAACGTTGCCTGGAAGCCACGCCTACCTCCCAGGGTGGTAGCTCCAGCAAGGCCTCGTCGGACATTCATAGGGGCCACAGAATACCAGACCCCATCCTCATCTGCCGTGTAGTCTAGACACTCCACTGAACTGAGGCGGGAACGGCCATCATAGCCACCAATTACGTAGATCCGGTCATGTAAGGATACTGAGGCTACGTAGCGTCTCTTGCGAGTGATGCTCTTGACATTGGGAGAGAAGAGTACAGAGCATTTCAGTGAAGCAAGTTTCAGGTCTTACCTTTAGCTATCCTTCTGTTTTTATCTACATGTCTCTCTGCTTCTTTGTTACCATGAACCCTCCTTGAGCCAGCAGTTCTTCCTTAAGTGGCCTCTAGCAGACTACCTACCAAACAAAAGGCTCACTGGCCAGGCGCTGGTTGCTCACACCTGTAGTCCTAGCCACTCAGGAAGTTGAGATCTGAGGATCACGGTTCAAAGCAAGCCGAGGCAGGGAAGTCCATGAGACTTTTTTTTTTCCCCAGTCCTGGGGCTTGAACTTTGGGGCTAGGCACTGTCGCGGAACTTCTTTTTTTTGGGGGGGGGTCAGTTGTGGGGCCTGAACTCTGGGCCTGGGCACTGTCCCTCAGCTCTTCAGCTCAAGGCCAGTGCTCTACCACTTGAGTCACAGCGCCACTTCCGGCTTTTTCTGCTTATGTGGTGCTGAGGAATTGAACCCAGGGCCTTCCGGCTTTTTCTGCTTATGTGGTGCTGAGGAATTGAACCCAGGGCCTCATGCATGCAAGGCAAGCTACTCTTCCACTGAGCCATCTTCCCAGCCCCGCTGAACTTCTTTTGCTCAAGGCAAAAGCCTTGAGCCACAGCACCACTTCCAGCTTTTACTGTTTATCTAGTACCAAGGAATCGAACCCAGGCTTCATGCATGCTAGGCAAACACTGTACCACTGAGCCACATTCCCAGCCCAGGTGACTCATATCTCCAATTAACTAGAAGCTGGAAGTAAGAGTTGTGGCTCACATGGTAGTGTTAGCCTTGAGCACAGAAAGCTTAGGGACAGTGTCCAGCCCAAGAGTTCAAGTCCCAGGACAGCAGGGGGGTGGGGGCGGGGAGAGGAGGCGGCGGCAGTGGCAACAAATGTAGCTGGGTGCTCACGCCCATAATCCTAGCTACTCAGGAGGCTGAGATCTGAGGATCATGGTTCAAAGCCAGCCCAGGCAAGAAACATCCGTGAGATTCTTATTTCTAATTAACCATCAGAAAACCAGAAGTGGCATTGTGGCTCAAGTGGTAACAGCACTCACCTTGAGCTGAAGAGCTGAGGGACGGCTGGTGCCCAGGCCCAGACTTCATGCCCCAATGACCAACCAAAAAAAAAACAAAACAAAAAAACACTCATTGTGGGGCTTCAAAAGATCCAAATCACTGAATGCCAGTGGCTCACATTTGTAATCTTGGCTACTCAGGAGGCTGAGATTGGAGGATCATGGTTCGAAGCCAGCCAGGGCAGCAAAGTCTGCTAGACTCTTATCTCCAATAAATTACCAGAAAAGCCAGAAGTAGAGCTATGGCTCAAGTGGTAAAACACTAGCCTTGAGCAAAAAGAAGTTCACGGACAGTGTCAAGGGCCTGAGTTCAAGCCCAAGACAGACATACACATATAAAAAGAAAAGATGCAAATCTTCGGCACATTTTTGCCTTGTTCCAATGTTCCCAAAGACCTCATGGTTTCCACCTATCCGAGTGTCTCTTTTCTTTATAGAAGGCTATAAACTAAGAAACTGATAGGCCTCCATACACTGGAAAAGTACTAGCACATTACTAAGGGCCATGATTCAAAAATCTAAAGGGTAGGAGGACTGCTCAAAAGATTTCTTTTTTTTTATTATTATTTATTTATTTATTTTTATTTTTTATTTATTTATTTATTTTGCTCAAAAGATTTCCACACAGGCAGGGTGCCGGTGCCTCACGCCTGTAATCCTAGCTCTGAGATCTGAGCATCACGGTTCAAAGCCAGCCCCAGCAGGAAAGTCTATGAGACTCTTATCTCCAATAAACCACTAGAAAACCAGAAGTGATGGGGCTGGGAAGGTGGCTCAGTGGTAGAGCACTTGCCTTGCTGCCTGAGGCCCTGGGTTCGATTCCTCAGCACTACATAAGCAAAAAGAAAAAAGCCAGAAGTGGTGCTGTGGCTCAAGTGGTAGAGAGCTAGCCTTGAGCTGAAGAGCTGAGGGACAGCGCCCAGGCCCAGAGTTCAGGCCCCATGACCGGACCCCCCCCCAAAAAAAAAAAAGAAAACCAGAAGTGACAATGTGGCTCAAGTGGTAGAGCACTCACCTTAGCTGAAGAGAACTAGGACAGTGCCCAAGCCCAGAGTTCAAGCCCCACAACAAGATTTCCACACAGGGAGCAGTAGCTCAAGCCTATAATCCTAGCTACTTAGGAGGCTGAGATCTGAGGATCATGTTTTGAAGCCAGCCCAGCAGAAAAGTCTGTGAGATGCTTACCAAACTACTAAGAAAAAGCCAGAAGTGGTGCTGTGGCTCAAGTGGTAGAGCCTTGAGCACAAAAAGGCTGAGGGACAGTAACCAGGACCGGAGTTCAAGCCCCAGGACTGGGTGGGGTGGGGGGAAGGGATTTTCACAACTATTATTGTTCATTCAGCATTGAAATAGAAATACGTTCCATTGGACCTGCTTTACTAAACTGAGGGAGAAAGATACCATCTTATTTCAAATGATCACTTGATGTAGTACAATTTAACTTGGCAGGACCAATGGAGGATGTTGAGTGTCTAAATGAATAAATCTGAATAGGCCACTGATGTTTTTATGGCAGAACATTGTAATCTAAACAGTCAACCACTGTTCAGGATCTACTGTATTCATACACCACTGGTTGAAACATTAGGCTATCAGCAGGCTTTACTCTCCTAGCTGAAGCAGTTATGATCTAGAATCAGAGAATGAGAACACTTACGCTTTCCACCCACAAATGGTTCTACCATTACTTACTGGCAAAAAGCTCCACTCCTGAGTTTTAGGATCATATTTTTCTACCACATCAATAGGAGACTGCTGACTTCCAAAGCCTCCAACCACCAAAAGCACTTCATTGGCTCCTGAGGATAGAGGTAGGAGAGGAAAAGGTTACTTTTTCTTGCAACCTGGCAACCTTGTTGCAAGATAAGGGCAAAGGCTTAGGAACCAACTTATAAAATTTTGCTTGTTTTTCAGAAGATATATATTCAAAATAAAAAAAAATACATATTTAAAGCTAGGTTCTGGTGGCTCACGCCTGTAATCCTAGCTACTCAGGAGGCTGAGATCTGAGGATCATGGTTCAAAGCCAGCCCAGGCAGGAAAGTCTGTGAGCCTCTTATCTCCAATAAACCACTCAAAAACCAGAAGTGGAACTGTGGTTCAAGTGGTAGAGTGCTTGCCTTGAGCTGAAGAGCTGAGGGACAGCGCCCAAGCCCCATGACCAACCAAAAACAAACACATATTTATTTGAAATAAATTCAAACATCTTCCTTGTAAAAATACTCAATATACAATGTGCATTATCACAGAACATAAGTGAACCTTCAAAAGCATTAATACACAGCTAAAGGAACACTTCTTACACATATATACCCGCAAAAGTACCTGTTAGAATCGGGTGTGGGGCCCTGTTGGTAAACTGAGAAAAATGGATGTTCAAGTGCTGAAACTTACAAAGATCTTTTACAGATAGATCTTCTAGCCATCAAATGAAAAGAAGTATCTTGGTGTTTACCATACAGAAGATTCAGGCTGTCTAAATTATTCTCTGTAATACGCTCACCTTCCCAAAATTATCCAATAGGGAAAAAAAAATACACCAAAGGTGTTTCTTGTTATAGGGTTCCCACAAACACACTGTCCACTCTAAAGTAGGTCAGATAATTGGGAGCAATCAGTTTGGAGTCTTATTTATTTATTCTGAGTCTTATGTTACTGTTGGTTGTGTTTAGATCATTGTGCGATCTGCTGTATGTTTCCCTGGTCTTAATTTTGTGAAAATCTGCTTCCCAAAAGAGAATCAGTGGTGCCACAAAAGTAAAGTAAGTGGCAATGTGTTTAACTTATGCAATGAAGTGAAATTTTTAAATTTATTGAAAGGAAGCTTTTCAGAGTAATATGTGAATTTAGAGCTAATCCTGATTTGAAGAAATGAAATGTCTAAAAATAGACAACAAATAATTGCAGTAAGAAATTAAGCAAATATGTATTTGATAGCTAATGACAGTAGGAATTCTGTATGCTATGTGTTTTATTTAGTTTTTCTGAGACAGGGTCTTACTATGTAGCCTGTGCTAGCCTTGAAGTCATGATCTCCCTGCCTCTACCTCCCATGTGCTGGAATTGCAGATATGTACCACCACATATAGCTACGTGTTTTCACATGTGTTAATAGGGATTCTGTGTGTTTTAGAGACACACACTGAAGTATGATATACTGAAATAGAATTATATTGTGTCTGGAATTCTGATAATTAGCAGTGAGTTGATCATTGTTGAAATTGGGTGATGGGTATAGCAGATCACTGAAATTTTTCTTGGCAACAAATATAAGCCATGTAGTTAAGCTCATTTTCTAAGAGAGTACCTGTCCTGTATACTTACTAAACAAAGTAGCCCCTTCTCCAAAGTGACCTAAAAGGTCCCAGCAGGCAGCTCACATTCCATCTGGAGAAGCAAATTGTCTAAAGGCAGGATCTTTTAATATTAATGTAATTTTTTCCTTTTTTCTTTTTTTTATTGTTATTTTAAAGATGATGCATACAGGGATTACAGTTATGTAAGTCAGGAAACAAGTACATTTCTTATTTTTGATAACGTTACCCCTTCCCTCACTCTCTCCTAATTAATTAGTGCAATTTTATGTGCCCAAAAGTCCTTCCTCTTTTCATTCTAGAATGGGCAAAACTAACATACACAAGGAAAGGGGAGAGGTAACTGAGAACATACCACTTACAACATGGCATTCAAGATAATCTATCAAGCACAGATCTAAAAAAGCTGAAATAAAGTTGTACCATTCACATAATACTTGACAATTTATGAAGTCCTTTTGTACTTACCTCCTATAATCCCAGAACAGATATGAGACAGAGATAGTGAAGATATTCTTAGGTTAGAGGAAGTAAAGCTTAGAATGGCAGTGACTTGTCTAAGATAAGACAATAAAGATTAAAAACAGGTCTGCAAAGAGGTTTTTGTACATAATACAGAATGTTCATTTCAACTATATTGTGTTCCCTGTAAAAGGTAGTTGAAAAGCATCCCTCATTCTGCCAAGATGCCAACTTACCTAGACGAGCCCTTGTCCTGGGTCCCTGCATCTGACTCCGAAGTTCAGGCCTCAGATGGAACTTCTTTGCTTCATCAACTAGATCTCTGCACTGTAAGCTACAGCGGATGAAAGGCTGAAACAGTACAGTGAGTACTTAGTATAGTGAACCACAAGGGCAATTTCTAATACTGAAAGAAAAAGGACACATAAAAAATTAACAATATAGGGCTGGGAAGGTGGCTCAGTGGTAGAGCTCTTGCCTTGCATGCATGAGGCCCTGGGTTTGATTCCTCAGCACCACATAAGCAAAAAGAAAAAAGCCAGAAGTGGTGCTGTGGCTCAAGTGGTAGAGCGCTAGCCTTGAGCTGAAGAGCTGAGGGACAGCACCCAGGCCCAGAGTTCAGGCCCCACAACCGGACCCCCCCCCAAAAAAAATTAACAATATAGAAAACCAGTTTTCAAAGGCCTGTGATGTCAAGAGGATGTCTGTGGGTTTACAGAAATGATTTTTAAATTTTCATTTTTCTTTATTTTCTTTATTTTTGGTGCTAGTCCTGGGGCTTGAATTCAGGGCCTGGGCACTGTCCCTGGGTGCCTGCGCGTGTGTGCATGCGTGCGTGCATGTGTATGTGTGTGTGTGTGTTTTCTGCTCAAGTTTAGTGTCCTAAAACTGAGGCACAGCTCCACTTCCGTGTGTGTGTGTGTGTGTGTGTGTGTGTGTGTTTTCTGCTCAAGTTTAGTGTCCTAAAACTGAGGCACAGCTCCACTTCTGTGTGTGTGTGTGTGCTTAATTGGAGATAAGAATCTCAAAATCTTTGCTGCCTAAGCTGTCTTCAAACTTCTGAGATCCTCAAATCTCAGCTTCCAGAGTAGCTAGGATTATAGGCATAAGGCACCAATACTTAGCTAATTTCCTTTTTCAAGTAGTTATAGATTTTATTTGGAGCAAGGGGAGCAATACTGGGGGGTTTAAACTCAGGGCAATGCACTTAGGCTGGCACTCTACCATAAGCCATAATCTTCAGCCTTGTTTTTCCCTGGGTTTTAGGATAGGGTTTTGCTTCTTGCTCAGGTGCACCCCTGACTGTGACCTGACTACTTTATGCTTCCTGTAGTTGCTGGATGACAGGCATGCACCACTGTATTCAGCTGTGGGTTGAGACAGGGTTTCCATGAACTTTTCTGCCCAATCTCAGCTTCCCTAGTAGCTATGATTATAGGCATGAACCATGGATACCTGGATTTCAGCCTTTTCTATTGGTCAGTCAAAGAGCTTGAACTCGGGGTCTGGATGCTGTCCCTGAGTTTCGTGCTCAAAGCTAGTGGTCTACCACTTTGAGCCACAGCTCCACTTCTGATTTTCTGGTTAGTTGGAGATAAGAATCTCACAGACTTTCCTGGCAGGCTGGCTTTGAGCCTCAGCTCTCAGCTTCCTGAGACTCTAGGATTACAGGCATGAGCCACCAGCACCTGGCTTTCAGTCTTTTCTGAAATGACTTCCTCAAAGGTCACATCATTGTCATAATTTTCACACCTGTTTCCAGCCAAGCTCTGTACTGTCCTTTGCCTCCCATAGTCTCTGTATCCTCCTCCACTATGCTCTCTGGCTCAGAAGACTGGTCCATTTGAATGATTCAGTTGGGCTGCAACTGTGGCTTCTTGTTAAGGTTGGCTCACCAAAGGACCAAAGGTCAAGGGCTGGGGAATGTGGCTTAGTGGTACAGTGCTTGTCTAACATGCATAAAGTCCTGGGTTCCATTCCTCAATACCACATGAACAGAAAAAACCAGAAGTAGGGCTGTGGCTCAGTGGTAGAGTGCTAGCCTTGAGCACCGAGAGGCTTAGGGACAGTGCCCAGGCCCTGAGTTCAAGTCACGGACTTGGGCGGGGGGAGGAGGGTCAAGGCTTTATTTCCTTTTATTTATGTTTTGGCAGGCACTCTATCACTTGAGCCAGGCTCCCAGCCCTGGTCAAGGTTACTTCCTAGGCATTGAGTCTATTAGACTTTTTTCTTTTAGGTTCTGGTAGCCATTCTGGCCTTTCAAGTTTAAGGGTTGTTGACAGATTTAAAGGTTCTCAACCCAAATATTTCACTAATTTGTTGCTTCTCTATACTTACACCTTTGCAAAAAATTCCTTTATATAAACCTTTCCTAAAATTGTACCATTTTGAACACACCATCTCTTTCTTCTGATTAAATGAACTTCTCACTAAATGAACCTGATTAAATGGAAGTTCTAATTGCACAGCACATCCATTAACCTGACCCACTAAGTTTTCAGTATGCATTAGAAAGCAATAATACCAAATATTGATATGCAAGACATGGTTCTAAAATTAAGTCTGCATATTAACTTACCAGGTACAATAATCTATAAGATACTATACTATTCTATTCTATAGATAAGAAAGTTGAAGCACAAAAAATATTCATCTGAGCCGGGCGCCGGTGGCTCAGACCTATAATCCTAACTACTCAGGAGGCTGAGCCGGGCGCCGGTGGCTCAGACCTATAATCCTAACTACTCAGGAGGCTGAGATCTAAAGATCTTGATTCAAAGCCAGCCCCGGCAGGAAAGTCCATGAGACTCTTATCTCCAATAAACCACTAGAAAACCAGAAGTGGTGCTGTGACTCAAGTGGTAGGGCACTCGCCTTGAGCTGAAGAGCGCAGGGACAGCGCCCAGGCCCAGAGTTCAAGCCCTACGACCGACAAAAAAATAAAATAAAATAAAAAATTAATCTGGGGCTGGGAAGGTGGCTCAGTGGTAGAGTGCTTGCCTTGCATGCATGAGGCCCTGGGTTCGATTCCTCAGCACCACATAAGCAGAAAAAGCCGGAAGTGGCACTGTGGCTCAAGTGGTAGAGTGCTAGTCTTGAGCTAAAGAGCTGAGGGACAGTACCCAGGCCCCATGACTGGCCAAAAATAAAAAATTTAAAAAAAATTAGTCTGTTTAAGGTTCACTTAGGAAGTGCTGGATGTGGGGTTTCAGCCCCTATTCTGGCTTCAGAGTCTGCGTACCTAACCAACCACAATTAAAGAACTGGACATGGATATATGTATAAGTTGCAAGAAAAATTACAAATAGGACAAATGAGTTTGAGATGTGACACTAACCAGCTGGAAACCTTTTAAAGCAAATGATAAAACTGTCTTTGTGGTTAACTTTTAGAAAGATCCAGAGTGGGCCAGAGAAGGAACTTATTCAATGATTTATAACATACAGATATAAATCAGTGTTTACCCATTATACAGTCCAGGTAACACAGGTGATACATGTGATAAAAATTATGAAAACATTGATGCCAGGTGTGGTGGTGGATGCCTGTCATCTTCTCTGCACTGGGAAGCAGAAGCAGGAAGGTCTTGAGATCAAAGTCAGTCTAGGGAGCTCAAGGTTACCCCTGGCTATACAGAGAGACTCTGTTGTAGGAATATAGTTCAGTGATAGAAAGCTTGCTTACAATGTGTAAGGCCCTAGGTTCAACCTTTAGTACTATAAATAAAAAATTCTGAAAAGACAGTTTAAGTTGAAAAAACACTTTTTTTTGGGCTCTAGGTTTAACTCAGGGCTTATGCTCTATTGCTGAGCTGCACCTTTAGCCCTTTTCTGAGATAAGACCTTGCTTCCTGCCAGATGTGTGCCTAGACTGTGATCAACCTGTTTCAGGTTTCCCATTGTAGCTGGGATGACAAATGTGTACTACTACGCCAGCTTCTTTCTCAAAAAGTCTCAAGCTTTTCTGTCTGGGTTTACCTGGCACCAGGACTCCTCCCAAACTCAACCTTGCACACAGCTAAGATAACAAGCATGGGCCACTGTACATATCTATTGGTTGAAAAAGGTCTCAAGTGAATGCACACAGTGATTTTCTTTTTCTTTTTTTCTTTTTGGGTCCGATCGTGGGGCCTGAACTCTGGGCCTGGGCGCTGTCCCTCAGCTCTTCAGCTCAAGGCTAGCGCTCTACCACTTGAGCCACAGCACCACTTCCGGCTTTTTTCTTTTTGCTTATGTGGTGCTGGGGAATTGAACCCAGGGCCTCATGCATGCAAGGCAAACGCTCTACCACTGAGCCACCTTCCCAGCCCCACACATAGTGATTTTCTAGAGCACAGTACCCAGCTTGGAAAAACACTTCTATAGACAAATTCATCATGACCAAATTTAAAACTAAAATGCATCAGCCTCATTTCATGCTGGCTACACTAAAGAATAAAATGGCCTGCTGAGAAAACCATCTCTGTTTTTCTTTTCAGGGCAAGAGACAAAGTTTATCATCTGATGCTGCTTAAATAAAACTCCTAGTGATGGGGTTGTGGCATAAAGCACTTCCTAGTAAGCTCAAGGTCAAATTCAATACCTAGAACCAGAAGAAAGAAAAAAACTAGCACCTCAAACCAAAAACCCCTTAGAAGTATGTAAAACAAAAAGCCAATAAAACAAAATTAAATTATCACAAATTTTCATTTGTGTCAAGAATTTCACTTGCCAAGTAATGACCTTTTCTTAGAAATGTGCATAGAGGGGCTGGGAAGGTGGCTCAGTGGTAGAGCGCTTGCCTTGCATGCCTGAGTCCCTGGGTTCAATTCCCCAGCACCACATAAGCAAAAAGAAAAAAGCCAGAAGTGGCGCTATGGCTCAAGTGGTAGAGCGCTAGCCTTGAGCTGAAGAGCTGAGGGACAGCACCCAGGCCCAGAGTTCAGGCCCCACGACCGGAACCCCCCCCCCAAAAAAAAAAGAAATATGCATGGAGAGTACCCTGAACCACCTGTCTTACATTCCTGGAGAAGCAAGCCAGGACTCTGTCTACATTGAAACTATCAGATTTTCCAGATATATTGCTAAGCTGCAACCGCTAGTCAAGGTTCTGGTTCCTGACCATCATGCATGACTTACCTCAGCATCTATTACATCTGTAATGTACCTGGGGGTCAGCAGGGGCATCCGCACATACTGTAGCAGGTCAGGTAAAGATTCTTCTCGCTCCTTCTTGGCATGCTTCACCCAATTGATGACAGCCTCAAAGACTGGCTCTTCTGAATCCACCTGTAAATGTATACTTACACATCAAGGACAGCTGCTTTCTCAGTTCACAATCTCCCCCCAAAAACCATGTTTACTACTCTATTCTACTTCCTGTCACCTCCCACCATAATTTTCTATCTTCCAGAAATGGATAGGCTCTTGGGAAAACAATCTTTTCAGATGTAGGAAAAAGAATTTAAGTGAATAGGATTAAAAACAAAACCAAATACCAAAGTTAGTACCTAATAAAATTGTCACATGTTGACCATCATTTCAAAATTTCTCTTATCTCTGATTTTTTTATTAGGTCATATCTGCAATTTTTAGGGAGAGTGGGTAGGGAATTTTTTGCACTAGTTAAAATTGGCTCTTGAAATTACTTGTATTAATAACTGTCTAATAAGCTTCAGGCTCCTCATAACCCCAGGAGCAGGGGCTTTCTTTTTTTGGGGTCCAGTTGTGGGGCCTGAACTCTGGGCCTGGGCGCTGTCCCTCAGCTCTTCAGCTCAGGGATAGCACTCTACCACTTGAGCCACAGCGCCACTTCCGGCTTTTCTTTTCTTTTTGCTTATGTGGTGCTGAGGAATCGAACCCAGGGCCTCATGCATGGAAGGCAAACGCTCTACCACTGAACCACCTTCCCAGCCCATGCAGGGGCTTTCTATAGCACTACATCTCATATTGCAGTTTTCAAGACATGGTCACTTGACATTTGAGCAATTACTAATTTTTTTTGTTTTGGTTGGTTGTGGGGATTAAACTCTGGGCCTGGGTGCTGTCCCTCAGCTCTTCAGCTCAAGACGGGCGCTCTACCATTTAAGCCACAGTGCCACTTTGGTTTTCTAGTGGTTTATTATTGGAGATAAGAGTTTCACAGACTTTCCTGCCTGGGCTGGCTTTGAACTGTGATCCTCAGATCTCAGCCTCCTGAGTAGCTAGGATTACAGGCGTGAGCCACCAGCGCCCAGCTTGAGCAATTACTATTAAGTCACTGCTATTTGAGATGATATATTTAACGAATGGGAACTTAAGTCTAGGCTCACATATGACAAACTGGACAAAGGAAAGCCTACATTATCAGAAAGATGCTAAGTACAATAATACCTAGGGCTTCCCAGAGACATATGAATATGGGTTCTGTGTCCTTCCCATTTACCCCTCGAGCATGTATATTCTGAGAGAGACCTTTTTAAGTTTCAGGCTGATCTCATTAACAAAACAAAATAGCTTGTGAACTTTTCCAAAGAATTATGGTACTCTATGGGCTGGGAAGGTGGCTCAGTGGTAGAGCGCTTGCCTTGCATGCCTGAGGCCCTGGGTTCGATTCCTCAGCACCACATAAGTATAAAGAAAAAAGCCAGAAGTGGTGCTGTGGCTCAAGCGGTAGAGTGCTAGCCTTGAGCTGAAGAGCTGAGGGACAGCGCCCAGGCCCAGAGTTCAGGCCTCAAGACTGGACCAAAAAAAAAAAAAGAATTATGGTACTCTAGAAAGAAGTGCAGGAAATGTTACGGAAAAGTCTGATTTCATGGCTTTATTGAACCTTAACAAAGTGCCAGGCACTGTGCTGAAACTGATAAAGACAGTGGTGAACAAATCAAACAGATATGATCCTGGATCTTTGTTTGTTTGTTTTTTTGGGTCCGGTCATGGGGCCTGAACTCTGGGCCTGGGCGCTGTCCCTCAGCTCTTCAGCTCAAGGCTAGCGCTCTACCACTTGAGCCACAGCGCCACTTCCGGCTTTTTTCTTTTTGCTTATGTGGTGCTGAGGAATCAAACCCAGGGCCTCTGGCATGCAAGGCAAGCGCTCTACCACTGAGCCACCTTCCCAGCCCCATGATCCTGGATCTTAAGGGAAGAAACAACTGTGAAGAACAATCTGTGGTTTGATTCAGCTGTGCTAGGGATATGGGACAGAACAACATGAGATTTGCTAATTCAGAACTGATGAAATCAGGGAAGCGTCCCTGAGGAGGCACTGTGTTGAAATTGGATGAGGAGGATAAGAGCACTTTTAGGCAAACAGCAGAACACATCCAGAAGCACCAGACTAGGTACACTGAACAACCTGGTAGCCGCTATCCAAGTGTGACTATTAACATTTAAATAAACTAAAAATAAGTTTAAAATTCGGTTTCTCAATTGTACTAAATACAGTTCAGGTACCCAACAACATGTGGCCAGTGACTTCACTATCAAACTTGACAGCACAGATTGTTTCTATCTTCTAGTATACAGCAATAACCTAAAGCAATTAGAACTGGTGGCTTGAGGAAACTGGTGGCTAGTGTAGAATGAGTGAGGGAAACAGCTGAAGGTCAATCAGAGAGGGTGTGAGAAGACTAATGTACTTTAAGAATAACTGAAAGTCAGGAAGAAGGGCTGTGACTCAAACAGGAGAGCACCAGCCTTGACTGAAAAGCCAAGCAAGGGCAAGACCCTGAGTGCAAGTCCCCATAATCACACAGAAAGAAGAGGAGAAGGGCGTGGAAGGGAGACTGAACTAGAGGTCTTTAAATTTTTTCAGGCTAGTAATATAATCTGATTGATATTTTGTAAAGATTACACTGGTGACCACTAGTGTAAGAGTTTAGACGTACCAAGAGCTAGAGGGTCACTTAGCTGCTACTCTAAAACAACAGGTCAGAGATGGAAGACATGTGGACTAGAGCTGTGGCAATGGTGGTAAGCTATTGAGGTAATGGAGAAAGGACTCATCTCTGAATAACTAGAAGTGGAGGAAAGTACACAAGGATGCTCAAGATTAAAAAAAAATTATTTAAAGATAAGACAGGTACTGGTGCCTCATGTCTGTAACTCTACTACTCAGGATGTTGAGCTCTGAGGCTGTGGTTTGAGACTCTTATCTCCAATTTAACACCCAAAAGCTAGAAGTAGAGTCATGGTTCAAGTGGTAGTCCCAATGCTTTCACACCCCTCCCACAAATACCAAAATAATGGTTCACGATAGATTCTGACTCATTCTAGGTTTAAATATGACAAATCAATTGAAAGATGGAGTTTCCAATGATGAGCAGAGTTTAATTTTACTAAAGTTAATTAGAATTACAGAGAAACAGCTAAACGAGGAGTAGGAGCTCAATGTTAATGTAGGAAAATAAATGTTACCACAATAATTTTCAAAGATTTCTCTTCTGTACCAGGCAGTGGCATTCTCATTCAACGCTCAGAACAGCCAGGCACTGGTGGCTCCTGCCAAGTCTGACTGTAAAAAATTGTGTTGATTTAACTAATATGACATATTACTCTCCACTGTTTTAACTGCTTTTGTTTTACTTAATAAGAGGAAGTGTTCATTAGCAACTGGAAGCCAGACATCTGCTTCCTCTTTACGGATAGGATAGCATATGGACTAACAAAAAAAAAATATTTTGTCTTTCTAGAAAAAGCAAAGTCCAAATATGATACAAATTTGAGAAAAATTTTCATCTCAGCTCTTGACTACTTACCTGCTCTTTTCCATCTTACTTTATTTCTAAGCCTGTAATAGCCCCTAACTAAACGATTCCTGTGCCTGCTTTCTGATTTGAACAATTAGGCGTTGCTCAAGTGACAGAGCTCCTATCTAGCAAGGGAAAGGTCCTGAGTTCAAGGCCTAGAATAGACAAAAAGAAATATAGTCAAGCAAGAAATGACCACATGATGAGTTCACAGCTTAAAATGGTTCAGCCAACACGCTCTGAAGCAGACTGCCAGAATTTGAATCCTGGCTGTCCATTCATTTACTAGCTATGGTGTCATGGTTAACCTTTGAGTCTCAGTGTCTCCTCCTCCAGAGAAATGGAGATATAAGAATTAAATAGGGGCTGGGAAGGTGGCTCAGTGGTAGAGCGCTTGACTTGCATGCATGAGGCCCTGGGTTCGATTCCTCAGCACCACATAAGCAAAAAGCAAAAAGCCAGAAGTGGCACTGTAGCTCAAGTGGTAGAGCGCTAGCCTTGAGCTGAAGAGCTGAGGGATAGTGCCCAGGCCCAGAGTTCAGGCCCCACAACTGGACCCCCCCCCCCAAAAAAAAAAAAAAAAAAAGAAATAAGCTGGGTGCCCGAGGCTCATGCCTGTAATCCTAGCTACTAAAGAGGCTGAGATCTGAGGATCACAGTTTAAAGCCATCCCAGGCAGGAAAGTCCATGAGACTCTTATCTCCAATAAACCACCAGAAAACTGAAGTGGTGTTGTGGCTCAAGTGATAGAGTGCTAGCCTTGAGCTGAAGACCTGAGGGACAGCGCCCAGGCCTAGAGTTCAAGCCCTATGACAAATAAATAAATAAATAAATAAATAAATAAATAAATAAATGCCAGGTGCTGGCTGGTAGCTCACACCTGTAATCCTAACTATTCAGGAGGCTGAGATCTGAGGGTTCAATGCCATCCCAGACAGAAAATTCCATGAGACTCTAATCTCCCATAAACTACTCCAAAAAAGCCACAAGTGGCTCTGTGGCTCAAGTGGCAGAGCACTAGCCTTGCATACAAAGAGGCTCAGGGACAATGCCCAAGCCCTGAGTTTAAGCCCCAGGACTGACGGGAAAAAACAAAACACCAAAACAACTATCAAAAAACCCTATCTCCAATCAACCTCAAAAAGCAAAAAGTAAAGCTGTCACCCAAAGTGGTAGAGCACTAGCCTTGAGCAAAGAAGCTCAGGGAAAGTGCTCAGGCCCTAAGTTCAAGCCCCAGGACTAGCAAAAAACAACAACAACAAAAAAAAGGTAAAAACACCAAAAATGAGTGGTGCCATGAGAATGGGAGCTCCAGGGCTGGGGTGTAGCTCAATGGCACCATGCTTGGTGTTGTACTGGATACTGTGCTTGGCTAGCATGTGCAAGGCCCTGAATTTGATCCCCAGAAATGAAAACAAAGATATTTAAATGAATAAATAAATGAAAGCAAGTACACTCTCAAACACAGGAATTTTTCTTCTGTCTTGTTCACAGTTGGATTCCCAGTACTGGAACTATTCAGAGTATAGGAACATGCACAATAAATACTGGGCAAATGAGCCAATAATAATTGCTGAGTAAGTACTCCTTACGTCATTGCCATTTGAAGTGAACTCCAAGTTTGAGGGCGCATTACATTCACTTTATCTTCTTCTACAGTCAAGAAAAACCAAGATATGCTATAAATGACTGGTTTCTGTAGGTCTGCAGAACATTTCCTTTGGTATGCCTGGCATGTCAGCACAGGATCCAGTGTGGTACACCAGTAAGGGTGAGAACTAAAATTTTAGCGAATTCTTCACTCAGCAACAGCTGTGAAGAGCCTCTCCTCTGGGCTGACAGCAACAGCACATAAAAATGCACTCTCACTCAGCTACTAAAGAAGGGTTTGAAATTGTCTCAAACTTATTAAGAAAAACATTTAAGACCTTTCATTATTTTATATAAAAATTTTTACTTCTAACAAAATAAATCAGAGCGTATTCCCTTAGTTTGTAAAAAGTTTTTACATCATCTAGTTTTTTATCATATACATCGTTTTTCCCCCCAGTACTAGGGTTTGAATCAGGAGCCTTATGTATGCTGGGACAAACTTTTTACCACTGAGCAATACTTATAGCCCTTTTTGTTGAGCTGTTTTTCAGATTAGAGTCTTACATTTTTTGCTGGGGTCAGCCTAAACTTGAACCTACCACCTATACTTCCCTGTAGCTGGATTTCAGATATGAGCCACCACATCTAAACCTTAGAATTTCTTTCTTTCTTTCTTTCTTTCTTTCCTCCTCCTTCTTCTTCTCCTTCTTTTCTTCCTCCTCCTCCTCCTCCTTCCTCCTCCTTCCTCTTCCTTCCTCCTCCTCCTCCTTCTTTTTTGGCTGGTCCTGGGGCCTGAACTTTGGGCCAGGGTGCTATCCCTGAGCTCTTTTGCTGAAGACAAGTGCTCTACCACTTGGAACCACGGTACCATTTCTAGTTTTTCTGGTAGTTAACTGGGGCAAAGTCTCACAGACTGCTCTGCCGGGGCTGGCTTTGAACTGCAATCCTCAGGTCTCAGCCTCTTGATACAGCCACCAGTGCCTGGCTTTAGAATTTCTTTTTTCCCTTTGTTTATCAAAACAATAAGCATTTTATAAAGAACTCAAACTGAGTACTGTCTGAGACAAAGGGATTGAGAATTTGAGACCAGTGGGCTACACACTCTCTCACCAGAGAGACAGACAGACAGAAAGGCAGAAACACAGACTAATAGCTCATGAAATTATGGAAGAAATTCTATGGGAACATAAAACTGACATCATCTTATTCTCCAGTAAAACAATCTTCCAAAATCCGGGCCCACAAGAGGGATGTTTGGTGACATTGTCCATACAGGGCCATTAAGTCTGCTTTAGATGAGCAGGGATATTGGTGGAGGCCTGCTCCAGGTAGGCCAGGGAGCCCTGAGGGATGTCCGCTGGCTTTTTGTGCTGCAGGTTGATGTCCTCCAGCACCTGCTGCCAATGCTGCACCTTTGTCAGGTGCTTCTGGACCAGTGTATCCTTCCGCTGCAATTCATTCCTTAGTTCTGAGACATCCTCTTTGATAACTTGCTCTGGTTTCTGGACAGACAACTGCAATCTTTTTTGTAAGAAAAAGCATTCTGTTTGTCTTGCAATGTCCAGAAACTTTTGGATACACTGATCAACACCAGGTCGAATTTCTTCCTGATCAGTTCCATTGACATAGTCCTGACTCACAAGAGAGGCAAAGCAAGCCTCAATGATGACTGCAACTCGTCCATCAACGTAGTGTTAGAACTTCTCGGAGCTCCCGGAGCTGCTTGAAGAAGCGAGGCTTGGCCCGGGAGGCCAGGTGGGGGTGGCAGGGGCCTGGGTGGCTGTCCTGAGAACATCCCTCCCAGTGGAGCTGCCATACCTGGAACGACTGCTTTAGAATTTCTTTAAATAGCAAATTTTGGACTTGGGGCATGGCTGAAGTGGTAGAGTGCTACCTAACAAGTATGAGACCCATAGTACTGTTCCCACCAAATAAAGGGTAAAGAAAAAGAGGAGCCGGGCACTGGTGGCTCACACCTGTAATACTAGCTACTCAGGAGGCTGAGATCTGATAATCGCAGTTCAAAGCCAGCCCAGGCAGGAAAGTCCATGAGACTCTTATCTCCAATAAACCACCAGAGAACTGGAATTGATGCTGTAGCTCAAATGGTAGAGTGCTAGTCTTGAGCTGAAGAGCTAAGGGACAGAGCCCAGGCCCAGAGTTCAAGCCCCATGACCAACCAAAAAAAAAAAAAAGAGGAATTAACAAATTCCTTCTATAACACTGAGACCATCAATCAAATTTTTATTCCCTCCTTTAAATCTTGTGTCTAAACTGAGGCACACCAGGCTGAGAGTAACTGCAGTAATATAGTGCTTGTTAACAAGTGTAAAGCCCCAAGTTTGATCATTAGCACCACAAAAAAGATAAGTAAATAAATGAGGTACACCTGGAAATGTGCCACTAACTTCTGGAAATCAACTAATTTAAATTAATTTTCTTATTACAAGAGGAAGGAAAAAAACAAAGGGGAAAAAAACAAAACAACGACAACGAAAACTCTCAAGCATGTCTGAAAAATCACATTTCTTCTGTGGGAAATAAAGCCCAACAGATACATTGTTCTTTTACCACAGGCTTTGCTAGCCACTTTTTCCAAAAACCTACTAGCTAAAGAATTAGGTCACTGGAGATTAAAGCTACAGGCTCCAAAGACATTTATTAATCCTATATTGTATTTCTCACTCCCAGTCTTAGTCTAACTATAAAATATGCAACAAAATTGCTGCTCCAACTCCAGTACTCTGATGTAGGATTAGGACTGAGATGTCCCCCCCCCCCCCCCCCCCCCCCCCCCCCCCCCCCCCCCGGTCAGGTGTGAGGCTTGAACTCAAGAGCCTGGGCACTGTTCCTGAGCTCTTTTCCTCAAGGCTATTGCTCTACCACTTTGAGCTCTGGCATCACTTCCAGGAAAGATTTTTCTAGCCTTCTTTCCTCTGCTAGGTGAGGCACTACCCCTTTGCTACCCAGCTCACATGGCCTTCCTCACCTCTCCTGCTCCACATGACAGTTATAAGCTTTCACCTGTTCACAAAGGGCCATATCACCAAACTTTTGCTGCTCCTTTGGACAAAAGTTTACTCTCCTTCCTTCTATATAATCTTACCTTAGATAGCTCATTTTACTCTATTATTATTATTGTCTATCTTTTTTGTTTTTTTTGGGGGGGGGGGGTCCGGTCATGGGGCCTGAACTCTGGGCCTGGGCGCTGTCCCTCAGCTCTTCAGCTCAAGGCTAGCGCTCTACCACTTGAGCCACAGCGCCACTTCCGGCTTTTTGCTTATGTGGTGCTGAGGAATCGAACCCAGGGCCTCAGGCATGCAAGGCAAGTGCTCTACCACTGAGCCACCTTCCCAGCCCTATTGTCTATCTTTATTACTATGCTATGAACAAACTGTACCTCATCCAGTTTTGCATCTATAACACCTGACAGAATTGTTGCTCCATGGTACAAAATTTTTACATGTCTGTAAAATGGGAGAATAAGTAAACAACATTTGGTGAAAATTGAACTTCCTTCCAATTTCTGATCATTCTATACTCTCTAATGGAAATTCCTAAGCACTGGTATCATGTATTTAATGGAAGAAAGCAACATACTGTACAAATAAAGGGAGCCACTGTGGACACTTGACCGTGAAGCCCTGAGAAAAAAAAAAACAGCATGTCTGCCCTATAGAGTTTGCCGGCTGTGAAGAAAGCATTAAGACCCAGGTGTTAGTGGCTCAGGCCTGTAATCCTAGCTACTCAGGAGGCTGAGGTCTGAGGATTATGGTTCAAAGCCAGCCCAGATAGTAAAGTCCATGAGATTCTTATCACCAATTAACTACCAAAAAGCTGGATATGGTGCTGTAGCTCAAAGTGATACAGTGCTAGCCTTGAGCTTAAAAAAGCTCAGGGACAGTGCCCAGTCTCTGAATTCAAGCCCCAGGACTGGCACAAAAAAAAGAAAGCTTTAAGAGCCAGCCAAATGCATACCTGAATTTCATCACACTTGATCAGCTTTTCCACTTCCCCTTGACTCAAAAGAATGAACTCTTCATGCTGCACCACTTCCGGAAAATGCTTCTGGCTAAAAACCTCAGCTGCCTGCATCAGGTCGACACAGTTGTGAGTTTCAGCAAAGTCTCTGATCCCCAGGCAATTAGAGGGGTCCAACTGGCTTTCGAGGAACTCACAGCATGCTTGCTTCACACCTACAACAAACACAGGCAATGAATGTATTTATGACACCTGGCAGGTTAGGATGTGGCCTCAGAGTCTTAGATTTCAGCACCTTACTACATGCTGTTTTCTACATGATTATAGGTTTATGCTTAAGAGGTTCAAATGTTTGTTATGTGTTGTGTTACTTTCAGACTTTATGCTTGTCTCTGCCTAGTCCTTTTTTTTTTTTTTTTTGCTGATCTTGGGGCACTGTTCCTGAGCCTCTTTATGCTCAAGGCTAGTGCTCTACCACTTGAGCCACAGCACCACTTCTGGCTTCTTCTGAGTAGTTTATTAGAGATAAAAGTCTCGGGCTGGGAAGATGGCTCAGTGGTAGAGCGCTTGCCTTGCATGCATGAGGCCCTGGGTTCGATTCCTCAGCACCACATAAACAAAAAGAAAAAAGCCGGAAGTAGCGCTGTGGCTCAAGCGGTAGAGTGCTAGCCTTGAGCTGAAGAGCTGAGGGACAGCGCCCAGGCCCAGAGTTCAGGCCTCACGACCGGACTCAAAAAAAAAAAGTCTCATGGACTTTCCTGCCCAGGCTGGCTTCAAACTGCAGTTAGGATTACAGGTGTGAGCTACTGGCACTCAGTTTTCTCTGCCTAATATTTATAGAGTAGAGATTACTTTCAGGAACATTTGCACAGTTAACAAAAATTATAAAACTTTGGGAGCCAATCTGTAAAAGAAAAAAGCAATTCAGCATAAGGTATCTTCTGTATTCCCATCAAAGCTTAGTAAGACTCTAGAGTGAAGGAAAAACAAGACATTAAAAAAAATTTCTGTACTTGTCTAACAGGATAGGAACTGGGGATGCCGCTGAGTGGTAAACATTGTCTGATATCCTGGCATTCAGAAAACAGTGTTCCATCCGAGCAATACTCACATGCACACATGACCCAGTGTACAAAATTTTATAACTGAGCCCTAATGTAAATGTTTCACACTATTTCTATCTTTTAAAATGGAATGGGCACAAAGTACCAGAGGCGTAAACTTATAAGCCTAGCTATTGAGGCAGCTGAGATCTAAGGGTCATGGTTGAAAGCCAGCCCCGGGCAGGGAAATCCATAAAACTCTCATCTCCAATTAACCAGCAAAATGCTGTAAGTGGAGCTGTGGCTCAAGTGGTATAACACCAACTTGAACAAAAAGATTAGTGACAGTGCCAAGTACTGAGTTTAAGCCCCAGTATGGGCACAAATAAAATATAAAATAAAATTGGAAAAGATTTCAATTATGTGCATATAAAAAGAAGAAACAATGAAAACATAACTAGGCATTGAAAAAAAAAAGACAGCTTGGCTCAGCATGGTATGCATGACGGTGCATGCCTGTAATCTTAGCATACAGAGGCCGACATAAGGGGATCACAGGTTTGAATCTAGCTGCAAAGTAACATCCTATCTAAAAAGAGAGAGAGAGAAAGAAGGGGAAAAGGACAGATTAGAAACTAAGAGATTAAATAATTTTATGAAACTTTATATTTTAATTTTTGGACATTAATTTAAATATTTATCTATTAATTTTACTTAGGTTATTTTATTTTGTTGGTTGGGGGGTTTGAACTCAGGGCCTGGGTGCTGTCCCTTTGTGTGCAAGGCTACCTCTCTACCACCACAGTGTTACTTCTGGTTTTTGAGTGATTAATTGGATATAAGAGTCTCATGGGGAATTTTCTGCATAGGTTTGCTTTGAACTGTGATCCTCAGATCTCAGCCTCTTGAGTAGCTAGGATTACAGGCATAAGCTACCAGTATCCAGCTTTACTTAGGTTATTTATTATTATTATTATTATTATTTTACTTAGGTTATTTTTGAAACAGGGTCTGGCTAAGTATCCCAGACTTGGGGCTTAGATCTTCCTCTGTATCTCAAACTAGGCTTGAGTTCACAATCCTCTTGCCTCCATTTGGTTAAATTTTAATTCTTAGGGGCTGGGAAGGTGGCTTAGTGGTAGAGTGCTTCCCTTGCATGCATGAAGCCCTGGGTTCAATGCCTCAGTACCACATAAACAGAAAAGGCCAGAAGTGGCACTGTGGCTCAAGTGACAGAGTGCTAGCCTTGAGCAAAAGAGGTTCAGAGACAGTGTGCAGGGCCTGAGTTCAATTCACAGCACTGGCAAAAAAAAAATTAATTCTTAATAGATTTTTTTTGTTATTGTTGTTGGTCGGTTGAACTCTGGGCCTGGGGGCAGTCCCTAATCTCTTCAGCTCAAGGCGAGCACTCTACCACTTGAGCCACAGTGCCACTTCTGGTTTTCTGGTAGTTTATTGGAGATAAAAGTCTCATGGCCTTTCTTGCCCAGGCTGGCTTTGAACCGCTATCCTCAGATTTCAGCCTCCTGAGTAGGTAGGATTACAGGCATGAGCCATCGGTGCCCAGCTCTTAACAGATATTTTACATGTTTAAAAATTTAAAGAAACAGGCTGGACACAGTTCACTCCCATAATCCCAGCCACTTGGAAGGTAGAAGATCAGAAGGATCACATTTTGAGGCCATTTTAGGCAAAATGTTATCAAGACCTCATCTCAACAAGACAAGTGGATGTTATGGTGCATGCCTGTCAAGTCAGTATAAAGTAGGAAAACCATAGTCCAGGAGGGCCAGGGTAATAAACTTGAAGCCTTCCCTGAAGAACAATTAAAATAAAAAGGATGGGTGGTATGGCTCAAGTTATAGAATGCCTACCTAGCAAGTCCTGAGTTCAAACTCTGGTTTAAAAAAAAAAAAAAGGGCTGGGAAGGTGGCTCAGTGGTAGAGTGCTTGTCTCACATGCATGAGGCCCTGGGTTCAATTTCTCAGCACCACATAAGCAGAAAAAAGCTGGAAGTGGCACTGTGGCTCAAGTGGTAAAGCCCTAGCTTGAGCTGAATAGCTGAGGGACAGCATCCAGGCTCAGAATTCAGCCCACACGACCTACCAAAAAATAAATTAAGTAATTAAATAAATAAATAAAAGCAGTATAACTCTAAATACAGAAAAATGTTTACTAGAATTTTTTTCTTTTTTGTACTGGTACTAGGGCTAAACTCAGGGCCCCATGCTTTCACTTGACTTGTTCCATTCTACCATTTGAGCTACACCTCCACTTGCAGCTTTTTGCCGATTAGTTGGATACACAAGTCTTATGGACTTTTCTGCATGGGATGACTTCAAACCTCAATCCTCAGATTGCAGCCACCTGAGTAGCTAGGATTATAGGTGTGAGCTATTAGTGCTTGACTTACTAGAACTATTTCACCTTTGAAAAAATGAAACGTCCCCTTAGCTTTCTGTTTATCAGGAAAATAAACAGTTAACAGTATAAGATAAACAGATAAAAAGTATCCATACAGAGCCGTGTTGGTGGCTCACGCCTGTAATCCTAGCTACTCAGGAGGCTGAGATCTGAGGATCGCGGTTCAAAGCTAGCCTGGGCAGGAGAGACCGTGAGACTCCTATCTCCAATAAACCACCAGAAAACCGGAAGTGGCACTGTAGCTCGAGTGGTAGAGTGCTCGCCTTGAGCTGAAGAGCTGAGGGACAGCGCCCAGGCCCAGAGTTCAAGCCCCACAACCAACAAAAAAAAAAAAAGTATCCATACAGGCAATAAATACTATTAGTTTCTCAGATTTCCTTTCAGGATACTGTATACATACATATAAGAAAATGCACGTATCGGCTGGGAAGGTGGCTCAGTGGTAGAGCGCTTGCCTTGCATGCATGAGGCCCTGGGTTCGATTCCCTAACACCACATAAGCAAAAAGAAAAAAAGCTAGAAGTGGCGCTGTGGCTCAAGTGGTAGAGCACTAGCCTTGAGCTGAAGAGTTGAGGGACAGTGCCCAGGCCCAGAGTTCAGGTCCCACAACCGGACCCAAAAAAAAAAAGAAAATGCATGTATCTTTCACTCTTGATTTCTTTCAAAAATAGAAGGGTGAATGCTCTCTTTACACAGTCAATCTTTCACATTTGGAGAAGTTCCTCTGTATTGTTATTGACATCTGATATTTCACTGCTCAAAAATTCAAAAACTATGGTCAGTAAACATGAGGACATGTAGTCTGGTTTCCATAAATCTCATGATTAACATTACACCAGTTTGCAACATGTGGTAGAGTAACAGCAACTTCTCATGTGCATATGCGTACCTTTCAGCTGAAGCAGACAGGCTGCAGGGAGCAGCTCCTGTACGTTCTCCACTGTCACATGAACCGTTTCCGTGTACACAAAGTCCAACAGGATTTCCATGGTGGAGGCTGTTAAGCCTTGGATATCAACATAAGGCTTCCCTTTCTCTGAAAGCTGAAAGTTCACAGGTATAAAATTATCATCTATTTCATTTAATTTGTACAAAGCAAATATAGTATACATATGTACCTTTTGTGTATTTTTTGATACTGCGATTTGAATTCAAGGCCTGTGTGACATCACTTAAGCTTTTTCATTCGAGGCTGATGCTCTACCACTTGACCCACTGCCCTACTTGCAACTTTTTTCAACTGGAGATAAGAATTTCATGGACTTTGCCCAGGCTGGCTTTGAACTATAATCTTCAGATCTCAGCTTCCTGAATAGCTAGGATTATAGGCATGATCTACTAGCATCCAGCTATGCTTTAGCTTTTCAAATGGAGAAGGCAGTGGTCCATATCCCCAGCAATAAACAGAGGTAAAAATATCAATTTTACTGGTGAATAATTTAAAACTCAATTCCTTATTTAAAAAAATAAATGTATTACAGCACACAAAAGTTCCAAGAAGTATCCATGAGCTTTTAAGACAAAATACAAATTTTCAACGACATTCTTTGCTTACAAAACACTCAGGTCATAGTTCCGCACCCTCCAAGACTATCAAGGTCTTGTAATCCACTCCCAGACTACATTTGGTATCACCGAAAGGAACATGAACACCACTGTAAGGGGCTCTCTTCTAAAACAGTCTGAATACACCTGAGCTGCTTGACAGGTTGTCAAAACATTAGGTCACTAGGGACACAGATCTGTAGTAGAATACTTACCTAGCATATACAAGGCTCTGATTTCTATCCTCTAACACAAACACATATACCTTAAATTACAAAATACTGGGGTCTCTATGGTGAGATTACTGAATAATCAGTGGTATATTTAATCTAGAATAGCTCCTCAAAGCAATGAATAATGAGGTGAAACATTCATCAACACTGCTAAGAGCTAAAATTTTTACAGGCCAGTAAAACTTACCTGAAAGTTGGTTAACATTGAAATTTTACATTTTAATCTTAGTTTAAAAATTTGTATTATGGGGCTGGGAAGGTGACTCAGTGGTAGAGCGTTTGCCTTGCATGCATGAGGCCCTGGGTTCGATTCCTCAGCACCACATAAGCAAAAAGAAAAAACCCAGAAGTGGCGCTGTGGCTCAATTGGTAGAGTGCTAGCCTTGAGCTGAAGAGCTGAGGGATAGTGCCCAGGCCCAGAGTTCAGGCCCCACGACTGGACTCCCCCCCCCCCAAAAAAAACAAAAAAAACCCACCATATTACTTTAAAAATTTTTTTTTGTATTACAAAACTATAGTATATTCATCAGCTTCAATTTCTCCATTAGCCCAGAGTGTAATAAAGAAAAAAAAAATTTTAACTTGGGGATTCAACCCAGGACCTTCCCCTGAGCTATACTTCCAGACCTCAAAAAGCATCCTCTGGCCGGGTACCAGTAGCTCATGCCTATAATCCTAGCTTCGATCTGAGGATTGTGGTTCGAAGACAGCCTGGCTGGGCAGGAAAGTCCATGAGACTCTTTGTTTGTTTGTTTTTTGGGTCAATCATAGGGCTTGAACTCAGGGCCTGGACCAGGCCTTGAGATTTTTAAATTAAGGGTAGTGTTCTACCAGTTTGAGCCACAGCACCACTTCCTCCGTGAGACTCTTATCTCCAAATAACCACCAGAAAACCAGAAGTGCTGCTATGGGCTATGGTTCAAAGTGGTAGAGCAGTAGCTTTGAGCAAAAAAGCTCAGAAATAGCACCTAAGCCCTGAATTCAAGCCCTACGACAGACAAAAACAAAACAAAAAAAAAGCAAAACAAAACTAAAATGAAAATTAATCCCTGACATTAAAAATTAACAGTAGCTGTGCTGGGAAGGTGGCTTAGTGGTAGAGTGCTTGCTTCACATGCATGAGGCCCTGGGTTCGATTCCTCAGCACCACATAAACAGAAAGAGCCGGAAGTGGCGCTGTGGCTCAAGTGGTAGAGTGTTAGCCTTAAGCTGAAGAGCTGAGGGGCAGCACCCAGGCCCAGAGTTCAAGCCCTATGACAAAAAAACAAACAAGCAAACAATAAATAAATAAATAAAAACAAGCAAACAAACAAAAAACAGTAGCAGGCCAGCCATCAGTGGCATACATCAGTAATCTCAGCTGCTCAGCAAGTTGAGATCTGAGGACCAGAGTTCAAAGCCAGCCTGAGAAGGAAAGTCTGTGAGACTCATCTCCACCAAAAAGCTAGAAGTAGAGCTGGGAAGGTGGCTCAGTGGTAGAGCGCTTGCCTTGCATGCTCAAGGCCCTGGGTTCGATTCCTCAGCACCACATAAGCAAAAAGAAAAAAGCCGGAAGTGGCACTGTGGCTCAAGTGGTAGAGCACTAGCCTTGAGCTGAAGAGCTGAGGGACAGTGCCCAGGCCCAGAGTTCAGGCCCCACGACCGGACCAAAAAAAAAAAGCTAGAATTAGATTTGTGGTTCAATTGATAGAACGTTAACCTCAAGCCAAAAAGCTCAGGGACAGCACCCAAGCCCTGAATTCAGGCCAAAACAAAACACAACAAAGCAAACAAAATCCAGCAACATATTCTTTTGGAAAAAACAGATGAGATTTATTGACATTTAACACATACACATTTTACAAATAATTACTACCCTAAAATGTAGCATAGATTAAATACTAATGATACAGCACATATGTAAGTACATTACTCCACAAGTTTCTCATTCAACAAATAAGCTATGGGTCTCTTAGTCAAATAGTTTGATTTTTTTTCTTTTCAGTCAGTGATGGGGCTTGAACTCAGGGCTTGGGATCTATCCCTGAGCTTTTTTGCTCAAGGATAGTACCTACCACTTTGAACCACAGTTCCACTTCCAAGATTTTTGGTAGTTAACTAGAGAAATGCTTCTTATGGACTTTCCTGGAGCCCATGATGATTTTGAACCATGGTCACCAGATCGCAGTCTCCTGAGTAGCTAGAGTTACAGTGCCTAACTTGTCATATAATTTGAATATGAAAATTATTTCACTCACATATGAACTCAAAACATTTCACATTTACATTTTGCTTTATAATTTGTCAACATGCTTCTAAGATTTCATCTGGTTCTCACAGCAAGCTGGTATGGTAATGTGTTCTGATACTAGTGCTATTTAAAAAACTGAAGGTTCAAAGAAGTTATGTGATTTCATCAGGCTCACTTAAATAATAAGAGGCAGACAAATCCCAGATCTTCTGGCCTCAGTCCTCTGATTTCACCAATCTGGAATTCACAGTCCTTCTGCCTCAGTCTCCAGAGTTGGGTTTACAGCCAAGTGCCACCATGTCTGACTCTTTTAGTATCACTTTTTGTTTTTGTTTTTTGGCTGATTCTGGGCTTGATCTCAGGACCTGGGTGCTGTCCCTGAGCCTCTTTGTGCTCAAGTGTTTGTGTTCAAGGCTAGTGCTCTACCACTTGAGCCACAGCAACACTTCTGACCTTTTCTGAGTAGTTTATTGGAGATAAGAGTCTCATGGACTATCCTGACTGGGTTTGCGTTGAACTATGATCCTCAGATATCAGCCTCCTGAGTAGCTAGGATTACAGGCATGAGCCACTGGCACCCAGCTGGTCCAATGAAAAAAAAAAGGGTGAAAAAGTGCAACAGCAGAGTACACTGAACACTGATCAAAGTGAACTATACAACTGATGGGTGGAGACAGAAGGGCGGGAATGAGGGAACAGATGACTATACAAAAGGAAATGTATGGGCTCGGAACGTAGCTCAGTGGTAGAGTGCTTGCCTTGCATGCACGAGGCCCTGGGTTCGATTCCTCAGCACCACGTAAACAGAAAAAGCCGGAAGTGGCGCTGTGTTTTAAGTGGTAGAGTGCTAGCCTTGAGCTGAAGAGCTGAGGGACAGCGCCCCGGCCCAGAGTTCAGGCCCCATGACCAACAACAACAACAAAAAAAAGGAAATGTACTTATTACTTGATGCATGTAAATGTAACCCCTCTGTATATCCCCTCTACAGGAACAATACAGCAAGTTAAAAACAAAAAGAATGAAATAACTGCTGATAAGAGAAAAAGAACTCGTACAAAACACACTAATTTCTGAATGGGGAAAACAAACAGTGCAGACAGACAAATTTTCTTGTTCATGCTAACATGACAAAAGCCAGGATGCACAATAAGTAATTAGCAATCAGCAGTTCGGGCCCATTTCATGGTTGGCAGCTGCTGGTTGACATTTTCCTTAGTTAAGCAAACTGCTGCCTGTACTCTCAGGAAGATTAGAGATCTGTATGTTATTTTATACAGATGGTTTTTAAATTAGCTTGGATTAGTTAGCTTGACCTGGCAGATTTCTAAGACATTTCTACCAGTCATGTGACAGCATTGCTCACAGTGTTATAAATTTATACTGGCTTCTAAATTACACTGTAGAATGTAAAACCCATGAGAATGAGGAGGCACGGGAGTTAAAAAACAAACAAACTGGGCTTTATGGACAGAAAATGCAGGATTATAGCCTACTTATACCACTGACAAGTCCTGGGACTCTGGGCAAGTCATTAATGAGAACTTGCTCCTCCTTTTCTTCCTTTTTTTTTCTTTTCTTTTTTTTTTGGTGGTAGTGGGGCTTGAACTCAAGGCCTCAGCTTTTTCACTCAAGGCTAGTGCTCTACCACTTTGAGCCACAGCACCACTTCTAGTTTTCTGGTGGTTAATTGGTGAAAGAGTCTCATAGACTTTCCTGCTTGGTCTGGCTCTGAACTGCGATCCTCAAATCTCAGCCTCATAAGCAGTTAGGATTACAGGCATGAGCCACCAGTGGCCAGCCTTCCTTTGTTTATAAAATGGTCTAATGAGATATGTGTGACCAACACAAAGCACAGTCCTTTGCCCGTAAAGTGGTTCTTATCATTATTATCATACTACCTCTCCTATTCATCGCTAGCAACACTATTCTAAAGTGATGAGGACTACCTAAAGAAAATACTGGTGACCAGAAAGACTTTTTTAAAGTCATGGCAGGGCTGGGAAGTTGGCTCAGTGGTAGAGTGCTTGGCTTGCATGCCTGAGGCCCTAGGTTCGATTCCTCAGCACTACATAAGCAAAAAGCCAGAAGTGGCGCTGTGGCTCAAGTGGTAGAGCGCTCGCCTTGAGCGGAAGAGCTGAGGGACAGTGCCCAAGCCCAGAGTTCAGGCCCCACGACCGGACCCAAAAAAAATAAAAAAAAATAAAAAAATAAAAAGTCATGGCAGGGGGAAGGTGGCTCAGTGGTAGAGTGTTTGCATTGCATGCATGAGGCCCTGGGTTCGATTCCTTAGCATTCAAGTGATAGAGTGCTAGCCTTGAGCTGAAGAGTGCCCAGGCCCCAGAGTTCAGGCCCCATGACATGACCAACCAAAAAAAAGTCATGGCAGGGCATAATGGCTCATGTCTATAGTCCCAGCTACTTGGGAGGGGAAAAATCGTGAGGATGGCAGCTCAAAGCCAGCCTAGGCAAACATTTTGTATGACACGAGCAAATAAGTTGGGTGTAGTGATGTGTACTTGTAATCTCAGCTGCCTGGGAGGCATGAGTAGGAGGATCCCAGTACAAAGCTAGCAGGAGAAAACAGAAGACACTATCTAAACGAAAATTAATGCTACAGTGTAGTTCAGAGCCCCAGACCAGAAGTCTTCATGGTCTTGGTGGTACTGGTGTTTGAATTCAAGGCCTTCATGTTTCCTAGGCAGTCACTCAACTGATTCATAGTGCCACTCCTCTTTTACACTGGTTATTTATTTCATGCCAGTACTGGCCTGGGTGCTGGCCCTTAGTATTTTTGCTCAAAGCTGACACTCATCCACTTGAGGCACAGCTCCATCCCAGCTTTGTGGTGGTTGATGAGAGATGAGTTTCACTGTTTTTCTGTTCATGCTGGCTTTGACGCATGTTCCTCAGATCTTAGCCTCTTGAGTAGCGAGGATTGGTGAAGTCCCTGAGTTTTTTTGCTCAAGACTAGTGTTTTTTTTACCACTTGGTCTACAATTCCATTTCTGGCATTTTTTCTTTGGTAATTAATTGGAGATAAGAGTCTTACAGACTTTCAGGCCAAGGCTGGCTTCAACCCATGCTCCTCACATCTCAGCCTCCTGAGTAGCTAGGATTATAGGATTATAGACGTGAGGCACTGGTACCTGGTGCTCGTGTGTGCTCCCCCCCCTCCCTCTCTCTCTCTTCCCCCCTCCTCTCCTCTCTCTCTCTTCTCTCCATATATATATGTGTGTGTGTGTGTGTGTGTGTATGTATATATATATTTTTTTTTTTAATTGGTCATGGGACTTGAACTCAGGGCCTGGGCACTGTCCCTGAGCTCTTTTGCTCAAAGTTAGCACTCTACCACTTGAGCCACAATGCCACTTCCAGTGTTTGAGTAGTTAATTGGAGATGAGTATCATGGAGACTTCTCTTCCAGAAGTGGCTTCAAACTGCAATCCTTAGATCTCAGCATACTGAGTAGGTAGAATTAAAGGCATGAGCACCCAGCACCCAGCTCACTCTTATTTTTCCTTCCTTCCTATCTCCCTAACATTCACTTTAAACTTTTAAATATAAGGAGAAAAGGATAAATTTTTTAAATAATAAATAGGGGGGCGGGGGGGAGGATGGGAAGGGATGGGAAGGGGAAACAAACGAGGAGGCTACAATGCTTGATAAGAAATGTACTCATTATCTTGCCCATGTAATTGTAACCCCTCTGTACAGTATTTTCACAATAAAAATTAAATAAATAAACAGGATTAGGAATGTGGCTTAGTGGTAGAATGCTTCCCTTGCATGCATGAAGCCCTGGGTTCAATTCCTCAGTACCACATAAATGGAAAAAGCCAGAAGTGGCGTTGTGGCTCAGGTGGTAGAGTGTTAGCCTTGAGCCAAAGAAGCTCAGGGAAGGTGCCTAGGCCCTGAGTTCAAGACCCAGGACTGGTAAAAATAAAATAAAGCCAGGCACCGGTGGCTCATGCCTGTGAAATCCTAGCTACTCAGGAGGCTGAGATCTGAGGATCGCAGTTCAAAGCCAGCCCAGGCAGGAAAGTCTGTGAGACTCTTATGTCCAATAAATCACTAGAAAACCAGAAGTGGCGCTGTGGCTCAAGCAGTAGAGCACTCGCCTTGAGCTGAAGAGTGCAGCGATAGAGCCCAAGCCCCACAATGGACCCCCCCCCCAAAATAATAAATAATAGTAATAATAAATAAAATCCAATACTTTTGTGTGCTTACTAAAAGCTAGAACTGTTCTAGGAAGAATCAATGCATATCTTAAACAATCTATTTAACACACATATACTAATGGGTGATAACAAAACAGGGCTCTATGCATTTATACACAAACAAACTGAGGGTATACTCAGGGGTAACTCTTCTGAACAACTAAACTATTTATCAAAACAAATAGCAGGCTGGGTGCCAGTGACACATGCCTATAATCCTAGCTACTCAGGAAGTTGAAATCTAAGGACTGCAGTTTGAAGTCAGTCCAGATAGGATAGTCTATGAGATTCTTATCTCCAATAAACTACTCAGAAAAAACTGGAAATGGCACTGTGGCTCAAGTGGTATAATGCTAGGCTTGAGCACAAAAGGCTCAGGGACAGCACCCAGGCCCTGAGTTCAAGCCCCACGATAGGCAAAAATGAAAATAAAAATTCACTAACTCAGCTGGGCACCAGTGGCTCACACCTGTAATCCTAGCTATTCAAGAGGCTGAGATCTGAGGATCATGGTTCAAAGACAGCCCAGGTAGGAAAGTTCATGAGATTTTTTTTTTTCTTTTTGTCAGTTGTGCAGCTTGAACTCTGGGCCTGGGAGTTGTCCCTCAGCGATTCAGCTCACTTCCACTTTTTTGGTGGTTTATTGGAGATAAGAGTCTCAGGAACTTTTCTGCTGGGGATTACTTACAGGCGTGAGCCACCAATGCCCGGCTATGTGAGACTCTTATCTCCAATAAACCACCAGAAAACTGGAAGTGGTGCTGTGGCTCAAGTGGTACAGCACTCGCCTTCAGCTGAAGAGTTCAGGGACAGTGCCCAAGCCCAGAGTTCAAGCCCCACAATTAACAAAAAAAAAGAAAAAGATCGTTGACTGACAAATTTTTAAAAAAATTCACTAACTCAGCTGGACTCAGTGGATCACTCTGTTATCCAAGTTATTCAGAAGGCAAAGATTAGGAAGATCAAAGTTCAAGCCAGAGGAAAGTCCTGAGAGTGACTTACATCTGTGATCACAGACCATGGGACTCATACATAGGAGAATCAAGGTCTAAGAGCAGCTCTAAACAAAAACTTGAGATCCTACATCAATAACAGTGAAAAAATAGAGAGAAAGAGAAAGAGAGATATGGCTCAAGTGGTAGAAAACTTGTCTAGCAAGATTAGGGCCCTGATTTCAAACTCTGGTACCACTAAAACATTAGCTATCTCAAACATCTGTTATTTTCTTTACAAAAATGAGATAATTACATTGGAGGGCAATAGCTTTTATCTGTAATCCTAGCTACTCAGGAGGTTGGGATCTCAGGATTATGATTCAAAGCCAGCTCAAACAGGAAAGTCTATGAGACTCCTATCTCCAATTAGCCACCAAAAAGACAGAAGTGGAACTGTGGCTCAAGTGGTGCCAGCCTTGAGCAAAAAGCTAAGGGACAGCATCTAGGTTCAAGCCGAGAACTAGTATAGAAAAAGAGAAGAAAAAAAAGACAACTTTATATATACTTGGTTTTCATTTATGTGGAGACAATATATTACTTACCTCACTAGTGAACATGGCACAGAAGTAATCACTGCAGGCAGCCAGCACAATCCGGTGGGCAGGAAAGTCTTTCTGCTCTACTCTCAAGGTCACATCACAGAGGGTATTGCTCTTCCTGAGGGAGTTCATTGAGTTGAGGATGGATTTAGCATGAGTATTTGTCATTATGTCTTTGGGGGCCATAATGCCTCCCATCAAGTAATACTGAGAAAGAACAAAGGATCCTTGGATAAAGCAACCAAGAGAGAAAAAAATAAAGAACATATTTAAATAAATAGGGAAAATGAATATGAGCTAGTTTTACAAATTAAAGAACTAAGAAAAGGCTTCCTCAGACCCATACATCCACAAGTAGAGAACACTCCTAGCTCTGGCATCATCACGATATAGCCTACCAAGTCCAAATAAAAGTCATCTCTTCATTCTCTGAATTACTACAGTACTGCTAAAGATCCAAGATACTCAAAAAATAAGGTTTCATAAGTTTTGAACACATATGAGTTTTTCTTGTTAATATTCCCTTAACATTATAGTATAAGAACCATTTATTTAACAATTGAGATATATCAGGAATATAAATAATATAAAACATCCCAGAGAATGTGTATAGGTTTTGTGCAAATACTATATGTGCAATTATATATTAAGGACTTCAGTATCTTCAAATTTTGGTATCCACAAGGTTCCTAAAACCAATTTCCTTTGGATACCAAGGCATAACTGTGATTGCAAGTTCACTTGTACAAGCCAATTAAATGATTTCACTAATAAATTACATACTTGAAAATCAATGTAAGTAGTTTCTGAAGTGTCCACAGACTTTAGTCACAGTTGTTTTTTTTTTAATCTTTTTTTTTTTCTTTTTGCCTCTGGAATTCTGGAGAAAGAAATGAAGGTGGTTATGAAGACAGTCTTTTCCTTGAAATCCAAACTTCCTGAAATGAGCCCCTTCCCCCACCCCCAAAAAAGGAAACAAGGATAGTAGAAATGAAGCCGTGGACTTCAAAAGTCCACAACTCACAATTACAGGGTTTTTGTGTTTTTGTTTTTGAGTGCCAGTACTGAGGTTTAAACTCAGGGCCTGGGTGCTATCTCTTAGCTTTTTGGCCCAAGGCTAGTGCTGTAGTCACAGCTTCACCTCCAGCTTTTTGGTGGTTCATTGAAGAAAATGTTTCATAGAATTCCTTGCCCTGGCTACCTCCAAACTCTCAATCAGCTTCCTGAGTAGCTAGGATTACAGATATGAGCCACCAATGGCCGGTACAATCACAATATTTGAATAGGAAAAAAAACAAGATCCTAAATTCTCATCTACTTCTGTTTATACTTATCACATTCTACATTTTAGACACTCCCTCCAACAACTCTGTAGACCTATCTTACAGAAAAGAAGGCAACTCTTCAAATACACTGTGTTGATACCAAATATTTTCTTAGGTCAACTTAAGTCCACCTTCCTTACTTTCAACTCTGGAAATGACAAGAAATGTCTGAACATGGATACTCTGAATTATGCTGCTCTTTGGCCTTTGCTAAAAGGAAAACAGAGTGGCCTGGCTGTTTCAAGTAACAAGAAGAAAGAAGAAGGGGGAGGGGAAGGAGGAGGAGGAGGGGGAGGAGGAGAAAGAAGAAGAGGAAAGAAGGAGGAGGAGGAGGAAGAAGGAGGAGGAAGAGGGGGAGGAGGAGGGGGGGGATTATCAGCGGCTCGCACCTGTAACCCTAGCTACTCCAGAAGCTGAAATCTGAGGATCTTGGTTCGAATCCAGCCTGGGTAGAAAAGTCTGTGAGACTCTGATCTCCAATTAACTACAAAAACAAAAGCCAAAAATGGAGCTGTGACTCTGTATCGCTCTATTAGAGCGATAGCCTTGGGCAAGACAGCTCAGAAGCAGCACCCAGGCCCTGAGTTCAAGCCCCAGGACCGGCAAAAAAAAAAAAAAAAAAAAAAAAGCGGGGGGAGCGGGGGAAGAAGCAGAAAGAACAAAATCCGAATAGATGTCCAGCCAGCCTGTGTGCCTGGGCTTCAGGATTTCTCAAAGCCGACAGCCCTTCGTATACAGTAGCTCCTCTTCTTAGGGATCTCTGCCTCAGCAGGCATGGTCTCAGCGAGTCCGTCGTCCTCAGCTTTCAGAAAAGATCTGTCTACAACTCCCGTCTCCATCTGAATGGAGGGGTTCCACCCCGGGAGATTCGGAGCAGGAGAGGGGGCAAGGTACGAGGTCTCCTCCCCAGACACCACCAGGCTTACGCCTGGCATGGCCAGGTGGAGGTGGCGCAGGGTGCAGTTCAGAGGGAGGCTGGGGAGGGGAGGGCGCTCGAGGCCCGGCGACCCCAGCATCCTCTCCAGAGAGGCAGAGCGGGGATGGGAAAGGCCACACCTCAGAGCTGAGTGGTAGGAAGGACGGTCGGCCGTCTCCTCCGCGCAACTCACCTCCAGTCCCGGCCGCTCCGGCCGCACAGGCCCGTCCCCTGCCGGTGGGAATGGGATGGGGCGGGGCGCGCGGCCAGCCGGCGGCTCAGGAGGAGCCGGAGCGCCGCGGCAGCCCCGACCCCGAGGCTCCGGAGCCTTCACGGTGGTCGTCCGGGCTCTGGTCTCCACGGCCGCGCGACGTGATGACGTAATGCAGCTCTAGGACCAGCCCCTTCCCAGTTTTACGTGTCACGTGAAGAGTGAGTGTCACGTGACCCTCGAGTAACCCAGGAGCCGGAGAACGCCGGAAAGAAATAGGTGGGCGTGGCACAACCCTGGAGGCGGGGCCTGTACAGTTCTCCAGCTCTGGGATTGGCCGAGCTTGGCTCACGGGCGGGCCAAGTGAGAGGCTTTCCAGGTTCGGGCTGCAGAGGCTCGGACCTCAGGAGCGGCTAGCTGGCTGGGGCTTCACCTGCGAGATGCCTGTCACATTGAGAAAACCCATGGAGGCCTCAGACTTACCCTGGGGTTCTCAAAGGCTACCCTCAGTTGTGGCAAGAACCTTCCGAGGCCTCACGTTCTGTGCATCATAATGGGCCTATCATCAATCTCCGCAGGTGATTTTAACTTCCTTCACTCCAAGACACTTAAGTGGAAAGAACTAGGAGCTACAGAAGTTGGCCCTGATGGGGGAGATTGCAAAGGATCTTCTTAGAGAAGTCCCAGCAGTCCTTACCTCCACCGTCCTCCTCGACTTTTCCACCATATCATTGGTGCTAAGGATGTTGAGGGATTTTTGACACTTGATGGCTGAGAAGGGAAAGATGTTCCTTGGCTCAGCTTCAGGACTGTCCAAACTGACTGTAATTATTATACACTTTCACTCTGTGGACTTCCCCCCCCCCCCCCATGTATGTGTGCCGGTCCTCGGGCTTGAACTTAGGGCCTGGGCGCTGAGTTTTGTTCTCAAGACTAGCGCTCTATCACTAACCAGTGTTGGAGATTAGACTTTCCAACTGGGAGTTGTCTTCAAACTGTGATCCCCAGATCTCAGTCTTCAGAGTAGCTAGGATTACAGGCAAAAGCCACCAGTGCCCAGCTTCTGCGTGTGATGACCCTTCCCCCCCCCAAAGAATATAAAATGTGAAATTAGAACCAGAACAAAATAATTGATTTTTAAGAATATAGCCAAACTTGCAAGGCAGGATTGAACTGGAACAACTAATACTGAGGAAAGGACAAGGCTTATTTACCCCCTGGCTGCCCCTTCTACTGTAACTGGCCCATTTGCCCCTGGCAGCCGCCTCTACTGTAAATTACTAGTTTTGAAAAAGCAAAACACCTAGCCCCCAAACCAGGAATTGCCCTAGCTTTAGGTCAAGAAATTGTTACAGGGGTATTTATGGTTTTAATTGTTTCAGGAATGTGATTTACGTGCTTGCAAAATAACTGCTGAGTTATGCTTCTGTACACCAGCTTGCTTGCATATGCTCTAAAAGAATGCATTTTTTGCCTTTATAAACCCTGAGCTATTTGAGTTTGAGGCTGCTCACTCCCTAGTTGAGTTAGCCCCACTGGTCAATTCAATAAACTCCAGCTTTTCAAGATACTGTTCAGCATTCGTGACTTTGTCCAGGGGGTCTGTCCACTTCATGCACAGCTTTTGATTCTTTTCTTCCTCTCGTTCCTCCCTTTCTTTCTTTTGTCCCTCAGTTCTTCAGTTCAAGGTTAGCACTCTATCACTTAAGCCACAGTGCCACTTCTGGCTTTTTCTGTTTAATGTGGTGCTGAGGAATTGGACCCAGGGCCTCATGCATGCAAGGCAAGCACTCTACCACTGAGCTACCTTCCCAGTCCCTACATTTGTTTCTTTGGGGAGAGAAACTAAGTTGGCTGCAAGACTGGGTAAGAAGGAAATTTTTCCCTCTATTTTTTCATGCCTTTGAAATTTGATATCATGTGAATTAAATATATGCACAATTGAAGTTTTTAAAAATTCCTTGCTCTCTAGATCCAACCTAGCTCTTGAACAAACTGCCTAATTTCTGGTTGTTGAATTAAGAATCTTTCCAAAAGCCGGGCGCTGGTGGCTCACGCCTATAATCCTAGCTATTCAGGAGGCTGAGATCTGAGGATCGCAGTTCAAAGCCAGCCAGGGCAGGAGAGACTGTGAGACTCCTATCTCCAATAAACCACCAGAAAACCGGAAGTGGCGCTGTAGCTCAAGTGGTAGAGCGTTCGCCTTGAGCTGAAGAGCTGAGGGACAGTGCCCAGGCCCAGAGTTCAAGCCCCACGGCCGACAAAAAAAAAAAAAAAGAATCTTTCCAAATATGAGAAGGAAACATAAGAGTGTTTAGAATATGCTGAAGTTATCAGTCCCCCTCTCCTCAACTCCAGGGAGTGAGCTCAGGCTCATCCTGTTTTCTTCAAGGGCACAATTCTAACATATAGTGGGTCTTTTGTGGGTACTTGGTTTTATTTCTTGTTTTTCTTTTATTTTGTTTTTAAAACAGGAATCTTTCAATGTAGGCCAGACTGCCCTCAAACTCAGTCTTCCTCCACTTCTATGGGATTACATTACATGGGATTATAGGTATGTTACCATGACCACTTTATACTGATTGGGCTTTAATTTTAATCTTTGTATGCCAATGCAGAAGCTTGAACTCATAATCTTGGTGCTCTTGCTTAACTTTCTGGCACACTGTCACTTGAGCCACAGTTCTACTTCTGGCTTTTTGCTGATAAATTCAAGAGTCATGAACTTTTCTGCCTAGGCTGGCTTTAAACCTACTCCTGGGTAGCTAGAATTATAGGCCAGCAGCACCTGACTTGGGTTTTTAAATAATAGCAACACTGTCCTTTCCACAGAAGAAAATTTCTAACCATTTACCCGTCTAGCCCAATTCTCACATCCAGATTTTTTTTCCTGAGTTTCTTCAGTGTGTCCTGGAGAATTAGGTCTGAATAAAGCAAGCCAATTGATCTATTTCCACACATTATCTGACTTTAGGTTTTAGACACCTGGGGTGTGATTCTAGATGTTCATCTACTGAAGGGTTTCAGCAAGGAAATGTGCTTGGGAAATCTAGAACAAGTGTGGGTCAAATCTGTAACCAGCTAGGCCAAATACTTGGCATTTTGTGCCACCAGTGTAGCAGACATGAAAATACACCTCTTGAGTATTAGCTGAGTAGTAATCCAAGCAGGGTTCCGGCTGCTGTTTAGAAATCCCTTTTCTGCCTGGTTCCTACCTTGGCTAGGGTCAGCTGAGTTAAGCAGGAGAAAGAGACTTCTTTGTGGACAAAGGGACTTATCAGGAATTAGAAGTGAATTACAAATTCTCTATAGACTTCCCTTCATTGCAAGGAAGTTGGGACACATCCCTATTCTTTCCTTCCCATTGAGGTCTAATGGCTCTCCCATCCTTCTCTGGCTTCCTATTTTCCTTTATATGTAAGCATTTCCTCTTGTTTACATAATTCTTGTACATTTATTACCATCTGGGCAAATGCTTCCTTGAAGACTAAACCAACCCAGGGCTGTCAGTTTCTTTGGATCCTACCTATTTGTAATAACCTGAGTTTACTGTTTTCAAAGTTCTATTTTTTTGTGGTTGAAAATGGCCTATATTGTTTCTATATATATTTATATGCATATATATAACTATATGTAACTATATATAGATAACTATATAGTTATTTAATTTAGTCTGACAGGAGAGAGGTACAAGCATTTATTCTTGGCCTTTAATGACAATCAGTGTTTTTGTCATTGTCAACTTATTCTACAGTGTCTAGCACATACCAGATCCTTAAAAGGGATTTGGGAAGTGAATGAATGAATCAAAATTATGTAGAGGAAGGGGATAGTCCCTTGCTAATAAAAGAAAAATAAGATACTGAGATTAAAAGTTTATTTGTTGGTCCTGGGGCTTGAACTCAGTGCCTGGGCTCTGTTCTGTCCCTGAGCCTCTCTGTGCTCAATGCTAGTGCTCTACCACTTGAGCCACAGTACCACTTCTGGATTTTTCTGAGTAGTTTATTGGAGATAGTTTATTGGAGATAGGCTGGCTTTGACCTGTTATTCTCTGATCTCAGGCTCCTGTGTAAATAGGATTACAGGCATGAGCCAATGGAGCCCAGCAAAGGTTATTTTAAAATCTGTGACTTTGTTTAGAATATTAAGTTGGAATGATCTGAACTCGATATTGACTCGTCTTGGCTGTCATCTTAGGAATAATTATAGGGGTCTTGGAAGCATCTTAGTTTGCACTGAAACGTCTTCTAGAACTAGAAGGAAATCCAAGTTCATTTACTTCCTAGATGAGGACAGGGAGATCTACAGCACTGATGAAGGCTAGTGTGGTCCTCAAATTTATTTAGTACTTGCAGGCCAGACACTATAGAACAAGCAAATGATACAAACTCTGTGATTAAAGAAAGAATAAAGAGGGCTGGGAAGGTGGCTCAGTGGTAGAGCGCTTGCCTTGCATGCATGAGGCCCTGGGTTCGATTAGTCAGCACCACATAAGCAGAAAATGCCAGAAGTGGCACTGTGCCTCAAGTGGTAGAGCACTAGCCTTCAGCTGAAGAGCTGAGGAACAGTGCCCAGGCCCAGAAGTCAGGCCCCAGAACCCCCTCCCCCCCCCAAAAAAAGAATAAAGGCTAAAACCCTGATTTTATCCATGTCCAATCAGTAAATATAAAATAGGGAAAATGAGATTTTCATTTGTGCCTTTTTTTTTTCTTGAGTGAGGATTGTACTATCTACATCATAGGACCAAGGATATAAAAGTACAAAGTAGATGGGGGCTGGGAAGGTGGCTCAGTGGTACAACACTTGCCTTGCATGCCTGAGGCCCTGGGTTCGATTCCTCAGCACCACATAAGCAAAAAGAAAAAAGCCAGAAGTGGCGCTGTGGCTCAAGTGGTAGAGTGCTAGCCTTGAGCTGAAGAGCTGAGGGACAGCGCCCAGGCCCAGAGTTCAGGGCCCACGACTGGACCCAAAAAAAACTAAAACTAAAAGTATAAAGTAGAGGGCATGGTGGTACATGCCTGTAATTCCAGCTACTTGGGAGTCACAGATAAGAGGATGTCTGTCTGAGGATAGCTCTAGGAGGAAGCATGAGATCTTGTCTGAAAAAACTCAAAATGACTGGGTACAGCTCAAGTAGTGGAAACCCTGGTCTGGCAAGTATGAAGCCTTGAGTTCAATCCAGAAGTAACCTGAATCTGAGGCTAACCTGAATTATATAGGGACTCTCTCTCCAAAAACAAAACAGAACACTAGCTAAAAGAATGGAGTGGGTTAGTCACGATCCCCACGTTGCCAGTTCTGTAGCAGTGGTGCAAATTCAATGCCTCTAAGCCATCAACAGATGACTCCATGAGTGAATCACTCTGATGAACCAGAGGGCACAATCCCTCCAAAAAGATACAGCTGCATCTGAGTTGCAGTCAATTGTTTCCACTGTGCTAGGCCAAACAAAACAAGTTTGTGGACATTTGTGAACTACAGGCCACACCGAAAATACTTATTGCACATAGACAAGAATAAAGAAATTTTGTATAAACAGGAGGCAGTTAATATGTCAGTTTTGGGGGGCGGGGGGAGGATGGGAAGGGAAGGAGAAAAAGGAGGAGGCTACAATGCTTGATAAGAAATGTGCTCATTATCTTGCCCATGTAATCGTAACCCCTCTGTACAATATTTTCACAAAAAAAAAGAATGTCAGTTTTGCTTTAAAATAATGTTCTTACCCCTTCAATGACAACCATAATTGAGAATAAACATTCTCTTTTCAGAGTTCTTACCATATGTCGGCAATCTTAAGCTGTCATCAATTTGGTAAATATCTGAACATTACAGAAGGGCAGTCAAACTAGATATATGCTGCAAGTTGCCCCCTCTCCCACGTCTGCCAGTTAATTCTGAGACTCAGCCATGTTGCTGCTGTCTTTGTGATTCATTTTCACTGGTTTTTCATTATATGAGTAAACCAAAATTTATTTTTCCATTCAGCAGACATTTTGTTCTCAATGCTTTGCTACTATAAATAACTGCAGTGAACCTTTTGGTCCAAGCTAAGATTCTCCAGAGTAGCATTTTTCAGTATGAGTCATGATGAATTAATGAGTTATGACAGCAACCTTAATTAAGGTTGGTCCAGAACCAGTACCATTTCCTTTTAAATGAGGTAGCCTAAGTTAGTTATCAGATTGTAGGGTTATTTTATGATATTTTTCCAGGGTCTAAAATAGAATCCAGGGTCTCACATATGCCAAGCATTTGTTTTGTAACTGAACTGTACCCACAGCCCACTTCACAAAACCTAACACTGAGTCCATATATTTGCGTGTCCACCCAGTGGTTTCCCATGGTACACTTCCACCAACAGCATCTGGTCTGCCCCTACCAGCAGTCATACTCAATCTTAGACTTTAACTTGTGCCAACCTGGCTGGAGTGAAATGATTTACCATGCTGGTTTTAATTTCCATTTCTTTGATTACCAACTGAAGATAAGAAACATATCCTGTCTATGTGATTATTCTCCCTTTTGACCCTTGAAATGAACCCAACTTTATAACCCAAATCTCCTCTTTAACTGTCCTACTTGAGCTGTTAAGTAATGATGGCCAGCTTACCCTACCCAGTCAACAGAATTCCCTGTCAGACTCAGCATAACCACAAAGGTGCTGAAAGGCCTGGGATAACTCCTGGATGAGACAATCCTTGGTGGTTTTAGTAAAGCTAAACTCTAGGACATATCCCCATAGCTATGAGAATCTTCCAGTTACTGAACACTATGCTAGTATAGTAATTTCTCAAATCAGATGTCTGTGCAGTAAGTATAGAAAATGTCACATTGAGGAGAGAAATACTAGCAATTTAATTTGGGTCCTTCCCTGACCCCACATACCAAACTCTTGGGCTAAGCATGCAAATTTTTGCCTTAGCAAAATCTAGAATTATTATAGGCCTTGATCCTTTGTGGTTGTATGCAAAGAGTTCAAGCCACACATTTGAAATCTTTGAATGCAAGTGTCTCTGTACTTTCTTTTATTATCACCATAGTCTTTGCATCAAGATACATAGTAATGATAGCAGGTTCCTTTTAAAGCTTAGTATTAAATATTAAATATCTTTCCCCATTTTAAGTTTACATTACTCTGCCAAGAAAAACAAAACAAAACTAAGACTCAAGTTATCTGAAGCCTGGACACATTTCTTGATTAGCCTGGCTACGTAAAAGTTGGTGGCTTCATTCTTCCTGCTGCAAGCAGCTCTAGGCCCTAGAAAGGTGGGACCAAGTTAGAATTGTTTTGAAAAGTGTGCTACAAAAATGGATGGCCTGGTATAAGCCAAGGTTACAAAGTAAGGATGGGGGTAAGGGAGGGACATTTTCTTCCAGAAAAATGCCCAGAATTTCTGAAGAGTCCCAGTCCATAATTTTTTTCTTTCCCAAAATGGTTAGAGGAAGGGGTAAAAATCTCAACATGAGCATCAAAGTTCTGTCTCTGTGAGGGACCAGTAGTTGCCTGGAGGAGGGTGACCATCCCACCCTCCTCAGTGGGGAATGAAATGCAAAGTTTATTGCCCAGTGGCTGTGAAAGTGAGCTGAAGCTTGACTGGTACTCGATTCTCTACGAGGTTTCTTCTAAAAACAGACAACTCAGACTTCCTCTCACTTCAGTAAAGAAGTTATTTTTAAAAGCACTTGGGAAGTTCCTCCTCCACTGCTCAGGTGGGAAGGCTCAGAGAAGGGAATCATCAGTACAGCCACCTTCTAGGCCATAACGGAATTCTTGAAGGTTGGAGACCCCGTAGAAGTGGACAAAAGCTGCTGCCACCACCAGGACGTGGAAAATCTGATGAGATTGGAACTGTAAGAGTAAGAACAGAACCACTTTTAGCTCATGGGCAAGGAGGAATCAGATATGAGCAGGACAAAGCCTCTTCTACTTTTTCCTTTGTTTTTTTAAGTACCTGTACTGGGATTGAACTCAGAGCCTCCCAATCTTGCTTAATATTTTTGCTCAAGGCTGCAGATCTACCACTAGAGCCACACTTTTACCCTCAGATTTTTGCCAGTTAAGTAGTATCTGTTGTAGAAACATTTAAAAGTCTTTATCAGAGACACACCAAAATGTTAACATTGGCTGTTTTTCCCCAATGGACATTTGTGTGTCCACTTTAACACTACATGAGCGAGTTTCTTAGTACCTTTTCCCCCAGACCTTTAATTTGGGGCCAGTCACTCACCACCACAGGCCCTGCTAGAAGAGTCATTTCTTACCCATATGTCAAATTTCCCAGGAAAGAATCGCTCAGGAATCCGAGCAGCATAAAGGCCAGCTCCCGTGATGTACATCACAGCCATGAGGAAGAACCAGCCCATCTGACCCACTGTGGTGGCCTTGACAAAGCCCTCTGCAATGGTAAAGTGCATGGTGGGCACCACACCACTCAAGCCAAGTCCCAGGAACACTCCTGAACAGAGGAGACAAGAGCCTGTCAAGGAAACAGCTGCTACATGGAAGGCACAGCAGCCTGACACTGTAGTCCAAGTGGTTATGATATATCAGTCTCAGGAAGGGTGAAAGTTAGCAGTTATGGCCCAGAATGGGAAGAAGACTATCTGTTAAGGAGCACACAGAACAAACCTTTCTCTCTTTTTACTGAAACCAAAGCCTTGTACATGTTAGGCAAGTGCTCTACCACTAAGCTACACCCAAACTCATCATCTCATAATCTTCATTATCTGATAGGGAGCCTTGAGTACAGATCCTAGATTTTAGGTATCAGTTGGCTTCCAAATCAGAGAAGGGTAGATCAGTTTTTAATTAAGGTTGTAAAAAAGACAAGAAACCAGGTATGTATACATACATCCAGATGGGCAGTGGCCAGATGCTACTGGTACACACAAGGCAAAAGTGAGAGAAGAATGAGTACTTGTCTCCACACCATTCCACTGTACAGAACCGTGGCAGTGGTAGGGGGTGGTGGGGGAGGGGGAGTGGCTCAGAGACAACCCTCTTCATCTTTGCATATAACCTTGTTAAAGCACTGTGCCATATGGAAGGCTGGTGCTTGACAAATATTGAGTTCTTTCAGTTGAAGATTAAAACAGCAGATGGTGAAAGACTAAAGAGGATGAAAACCAGTGGTAATCGGTGGTGTTGCTACACATAGTAAAAGCTTAAAATAAGAGTCCACAGGAGCAGGGTGCTGGTAGCTCACTCCTATAATCCTGGCTACTTGGGAGGCTGAGATCTGAGGATCACAGTTCAAAGCCAGCCCAAGCAGGAAAGTCTATGAGACTCGTATCTCCAATTCACCACCAGAAAACCAGAAGTGGCACTGTGGCTCAAGTGGTAGAGTGCTTGCCTTGAACTGAAGAGCAGGGATAGTGCCCAGGTCCAGAGTTCAAGCCCCAGGCTGGGAAGTTGGCTCAGTGGTAGAGCACTTGCCTTGTATGCCTGAGGCCCTGGGTTCGATTCCTCAGCACCACATAAGCAAAAAGAAAAAAGCCGGAAGTGGCGCTATGACTCAAGTGGTAGAGCGCTAGCCTTGAGCTGAAGAGCTGAGGGACAGCGCCCAGGCCCAGAGTTCAGGCCCCATGACCGGACCCCCCAAAAAAAACAAAAAACAAAAAGAGTTCAAGCCCCACAACCGACCAAAGGGAAAAAAAAGTCCAAAGGAGTCAACACAAGATTTTCCTGCTTACGGTTACTACATCAGTTGTTACCCGTGTTTAGGCTCAAGTGCTCAAGGCATATTTTATTCACCACACGAGGCATTCCTTTCCCCTAGTAAAATGCTCCTGAGCATCCTAACTTGAATCCTTTGGTCTGAGTGTTTATGATCCAGGTCAGTGAACTGTGCTTGCTGTATTTTCAAACTGTCTTAAACCAAGTACAAGAGCAGTCTTATCTATGCTTGAGGCTAGCTTGGTATGATCTGTACCATTACCACTCTACTGAAACAGCACGAAGCCTGGGGGAGGACTGAGTTGTGAAAATTAATGTCACTTTTAAGACTTAAACATAAATGAGATTTGGGTGGATTTTGCAATCCTTAGAGGCCAAGACAGAGTCTGGTACCTGGGAAGTTTACACCATGTCTTCCTACTCACCTGCTCTTGTCTGCCGGTGCTTAGGAGTGGCAAACCGGTCCCACTGTGCCACAATGATGGCAGAAATGCCGAGGACACAGACAATGGAGAGGTAGATGAGCCGAGGCTGTGGGGAGCAGTAGAAGGAGTAATAGAGCCAGGGGACAAAGCTCCCCATAATCAGTAGAGCAATCCCTGAATAGTCCAATCTAAAAAGAGCCACAGAAATGAAACAAATCAGAGGGAGATGTGACAATTACTATGGCGTATTCAATTAGTTCTACCTGGGAAGGTTTCTTGTCACTTCCCATAAAGCTATCCTACATCCTATATTAAAATAAAACTCCAAAAGTCAAGCAATTCCACTTTACGAATTTCCTAAGAATCTCTAGAATCCATGGACTTCCACAGAATTCCACCCCTTTTTTGGCTGTGGTCAGCTGTACCCCCTTGGTGGTCACTGGAATTTACAAATGTCCCAATCCAGCTGGCTCTCAGCATCACACTCAGAAAGTACTCTGGATAGTCCCCCAATGTTTTTTTTGGGGGGAGGGAGGTATTGGGGCTTGAACTTAGGGCCTGGGCATGGATATCCCTTATCTTTTTTTTTTTTTTTTGGGTCTGGTCATGGGCCTGAACTCTGGGCCTGGGCGCTGTCCCTCAGCTCTTCAGCTCAAGGCAAGCACTCCCCAACTTGAGCCATAGCACCACTTCTGGCTTTTTTTTTTCTGGTTATGTGGTGCTGAGGAATTGAACCCAGGGCCTCATGCATGCAAGGCAAGCGCTCTACCACTGAGCCACCTCCCCAGCCCCCTTTATCTTTTTTGTTCAAGGCTGGCACTCTACCACTTGTGCCACAGATCAAATTTCAGCTTTAGTAACTGGAGAGAAAGAGTCTCAAGGATTTTTCCTGCCTGGGCTGCTTAAACCACAATCCTTCACATCTCAACCTTCTGAGTAGCTAGAATTACAGGTATGAACCACCAGTGCCCAACTAGTCCTCCCATCTTTTTTGTGTGTGTGTGCTTGAATTCAAGGTCCTGGGTGCTGTCCCTGAATTCTTGTGATTAGACTAGTACTATAACACTTGAGCCACTTCTGGCTTAATTAGAAATAAGAGTCTCAACTTTCTTGCTCACCGGGCTTAGAACCTTTATTCTCAGAAGTCAGCCTCAGAGTAGATTAAAGAGTGAGCTACCAGTGCCCAGCCCCTAAAGTTATATAAAGAGTTCTAAACAAAACATAGATTGTTCATGTTGGCTGGGAATGTGGCTCACTGGTAGAGTGCTTGTCTAGTGTGCATGAAACCCTGGGTTCAATTCCTCAGTACCACATAAACAGAAAAAACCAGTAGTGGCACTGTGGCTCAGGTGGTAGGACACTAGCTTTGAGCAAAAGAAGCTCAGGGACAGTGCCCAGGCCCTGAGTTCAAATCCCAGGACTGGCAAAAAAAAAAAAAAAGCAGAAGAATATATGGGATTAAGTGATCCTCTTGCCTCCTAAGTAGCTGGAACTACTGACATTTGCCACCATGCCTAGCACTGGCTCTTCTGATCATAATTCTTACTAGCAACTATTACCACCAAAGTCAACAGTAATAACAAAAACAAGCACACAAGTAAACAGAGCCCTGACTTGGCCCTGGGGACAAGGAACCATCAGCAGGGCACCTGGGGCTTCTAGCAGTGCTTGGGCCACAAAGATAAGCTTGACTGGTGGATAAGAGCACGGGGAGAACGAAGCACAGACTGCATGCCACGCCCGACTCTGGCTTGGGCCAACAGCAAGATAGGTTAATACTGGGGACAAGACCTCAAAAAAGCAACTTACTGACACTCCAAGCTTGGCAAAAGACAGTGCTGTTCAGCTAGATCTATCTACCACTAGTTTCCATGCATTGAAGAAGCTGCTTTAAGTTTTTCTCACAAAGAATTTACAAGTAAAGCCTCATCACGTCTCTCTGGCACAGAACTAAAAGCCTCCCCAAGAACATACCCAAGACTCTACACAGTTACAGGGGTTCTCAGCATCCAGTCAGCACTGGGGTTACGACACATGAAAACTGAACATATTCTTTCCTAAAGCTGTTCTTTCAAACTCACTTGGAAAAAGTCCGAGAGACTTTCTCTGAATGACAATAGACGGTGTGGAAGAGCCAGGAGAAGCTGAGGCAGAGCACTGCACCCAAAAAGAACATCCCGAACACCACCTTCTCCTGCAGAGGGGCCATGAAGTACATATTTGGTCTGAGCATGGTCAAGATTCCCAAAAAGAGAAACAGCACAAAACCTGCAGGATGGAAAAAGAAAAAAAATCCTGTGAGGAAAAAGGGAACATGCATGTTGATAGTCGATGGCTTTCAGCCACTGAACTGCAGGGCTTAGCTATGGGAACTACAGTCCAAACTCGAAGAAAATAGCACTAGTCAGACAAAAAGGGCATCCTGAAATGTTGCCATTGTGTATTTACAATGGGCAATTATGAAGCAGGAGCTACCTCCCATCTACAGTAGTTCTACCAAGGATTAGAAACTGTGGTTAACTTTATTACTGACCTTCAAGGTTGAGAGTAGAAGGCATACAGAGAGAAGAAACTAGTTGACTGAGTCAACTATCTACCACAGCTATCAATCACAGAACAACTTAGACCAAGGCTATATAATCCCAAGGTGATTAAAGAGGCAAAAATTGAGTTTTTTTTCTTTATCTGAATCACTCACCAAGTAAATGTGTCCAAATGTTGCCGGTTTCTGTGTGGATGCGGAAGATGCTCTTGAAGCATGCCCGAAAGGAGGGCATAGGTGGTCTATGGCCATGGAGCAGGTAGTCATTATCCTTCAGCCAGTCAGGAAGCACATCATATGGGATGACCCGCCAACGTCCCTCCCAGACCTAGAATACACACGTGTGTTGAGGCAGGGCCACAGAGAACACTGGACTTCCCCAGAACACGAGGCCAAGCACTGAGGGAGAACCAGTCCCGAAGGATGTTGGTCAGGGTGCGATGGCCTTGGGTCAGTGAGTGACAGCCTGGTTCAGGAGATACCACCATACATTGGGCTAGTAGAACACTGATTCATAATACTTTATGGAATAAGTTCCTTTGGAAATGTAATGAATAAAAACAAATAAATTGCCAGGTATAGTGGCTCACGCCTATAATCCTAGCTACTCAGGAGGCTGAGACCTGAGGATCATGGTGCCAAACCAGGTTCCAAGCCAGCCCAGGCATTAAAGTCCCTGTGAGACTCTCAACTTCAATTAACCACTCAAAAACTTGGAAGTGGCACTGTGACAAGTGGTAGAGCACTAGCCTTAAGCACAAAGAGGCTCAAGGACAACACTCAGGCACCTCAAGTTCAAGTCCTGCAATAGGGCTTTTTTTTTTTGGTCATTCGTGAGGCTTGAACTTGGGGCCTGGGTGCTACCCCTGAGCTCTTTTGCTCAAGGCACTCTACCACTTTGAACCACAACTCTACTTGGGGTTTTTTGTTTTTGTTTTGCTTTTCTTGAGTGGTTAATTGGAGATAAGAGTCTCACAGGGACTTTTCTGCCCATGTGGACTTTGAACCAGGCAGGATTTACAGATCTCAGCTTCCTGAGTAGCTAGAAAGTGGCACTGTGGCTTAAAGTGGTAGAGTGCTTGCCTTGAGCTGAAGCGCTAAGGGACAGTCCCCAGGCCCAAAGTTCAAGCCCCATGACTGACAAAAAAAAAAAAAAAAAATCACCAACAACAGATACCTCAAATATTTTGATGATTGCTATAGAGATGCACAAAAAAAGTGAAGAACCCCTGTTTTAGAGTATATCTTGAAAATGTCCAACATGGTATGCAGCAAAAATTTAGCCAGTTCTCACCTCTGATTTACTTTACCTTAACCAATGAACCATCAAACCACTCACAGGGACTGCTCAACGCCAGGCTGGCTTGCCCGCTTGCCAGCTAGGAATATCCCACATATGCCTACTGTCTTTCCCCTTTGAAGACAGAGGCTTAAGCTTACCTTATACACAAACTCCTCCATCTTCTCCATGGCATGGTGGGCCTGCAGGGGAAGTGTCAGCACCCGCACCTCTTCCTCTTCTTCCTGGGGCACTGGGCATGTTTGTTCTTCTTCAGCCTGAAGAAACAAAAAACAAACAAAAACAACCTGCAAGCAAGGTGCCAGTGGCTCACGCCTGTAATCCTAGCTACTCAGGTGGCTAAGATCTAAGGATGGCAGTTCAAAGTCAGCCTGGGCAGCAAAGTCCGTGAGACTCTTATTTCCAGTAAACCACTCAGCAAATGTGGTACTGTGGTAGAGCTCTTACCTTGAGCTGAAGAGCTTAGGGACAGCGCCTAGGCCCAGAGTTCAGTCACCACGACCAACAAAAACAAAACAAAAACCAAAACAACCTGCAGAGACACCTCTTAAAGTATACTATCCCAATCAGAGAGATCCAGAGCACCCTCAATCCAAAATGCTTTTCCCAGCCTCTTTCAGGCCTTGTGCCTCTTTCTCCACAGCATGCTTCTTACTGAGTTTACAGCCCTGCAGTCAGGTTTCTCAACTCATTATAAGGCTGGAGTGATTGTTACTGGCACCCAGGAGGCAGACTGGTAGGGGCTAGCACTGGAGAGACAAAGGATTAGTGACCCAGCTCTAGGTGTTTGTTGGGGCTCAAGACTCACCTCTTCTCTAGGTCTAAGTGATTCTCAACTTGCTCCAAATAGTTTTTCCTTTTCTAGGCCACTAAATTTCAAAATGATGAAAAAGATTCTCAGAGATTTCCTTAACAAGAATTCTGTTCATTTCTGCTTACTGACTCTGGGGATGCTAGCATGACTGTAACTCTATGTCCACAGTGGATCCCAGGAGTGCTGAGCCTCAAATGAAGCAGCAGGACCGACTCCTGGGTGCAACTGAGTACACCTGAGAGCATTTGTCTGCAAGGTAGGGAGACAGACTTTTCTCCTGGTACCAGGGCTCTGGACCATGGAGATGGGAAGCCTGCAGCTCAACTCTTCTGGCTATGCTTGCTCGCTTTCTCCTGTTGAAGCTACGTAATAGGAATATTGTCCCTCTGAGATTTTATGATGAAATCCTGGCTTTCGCCAACATGCATTTTCTCTCTTTGCTCCTAAGAGACAAAGCGCTTGGTTTTATTCAGGATGGCCATGCTATTTCAGTTTTACTCAAGCCTACTGAAAATACACTTCCTAATCTTCACTGCAGCAGTAACTATATGACAAGTTCCGGCCTAAGTGCTAGCAGGTCCTTCCTGATACTTCCTGAAACAACTGGGCCCTTGTCTGCCTTCCTCTTTCCTCCTTGACTGTGAGTAAAAGAAGCAGCAATACATTAGGAACTATGAAGGCGCATGAAGGACATGATGGGTGGAGTCTCCCTGTCAACCCTGGGCTGGTTATTTCCAATTCTTTTATTTGAGAGGGACTTCCAGCTTGTCGACTTTAATCTTAATTGACTGCTTCATACATTCAGTCATTGCCATTCACTAATCACTTGCTGGGAGTTCAGGTCTGTGCAAGCAGTGGAGGTAAGAAAGTGCTAGAAACCTTTGGGGACTCAACTCCCCCAAAGGTTACAGCAGGAAAAAGTAGAATAAATGATACCACTAATACAGAATGATAAAAGACTTGAATAGAGGAAGTAGAAGCATGGCTCAAGTGATACAACAGCAGCCTGGAATGAAAAAGCCAGCTAGAGAACACAGGCCCTAAGTTCTAGCCCCAGTACTAGCTAGTGTGCACACGCACGCACATACGTACGTGCATACACACACACACACAGACTTGGATAGGGATATTCCCAGAGAACTATAGTTTTTCTTTCTGGAAAGAAGGTGAGGTCTTAAAAAGCAGACACTGAAGCCAGGCTTTGGTGGCTCACACTTATAATCCAAAGCAACTGAAGAGACTGAGCTCTGAGGATTGTGGTTTGAAACCAGCCCAGGCAGACAAATCTGAAGACTTCTTTCCAATCAAGCACTGAAAAGCCACAAGTGGAGCTGTGACTCAAGTGGCAGAGCTCCAGCCTTGAGCAAAATAGCTAAGGAAGAGTCTTAAGATTGAATTCAAGTTTCAATACTGGCAACATAAAAAGAAAAAGCCTCACAAAAAATAAGAAACTGGTTTGGGGAATGGCTGATGGAGGTGAACTTACTTTGGTTGGGGTGACGGTTACCCGCTTGCCCTTCTCTTCCAGCAGAGGTCCCAGTTCAGCCAGCTCCACTGTATCAGTCTCCCTGCTACTGGCAGGAGCCCCATTGCCCTGTGCTGCGACAGATCCTTTGTGGGAAGACATCTGGCTGGTACTTCAACAATACTCTGCAGCTTCAGCTTGGGAGAAGATTGGGGGCGGGGGGTCCTCTCAGCCCCAAGGGGCAGAGATCTCCCAGTGATGGTGGACACTAAAAACAAATGAAAGGTTTTGACAATTTCTTCCTCTAGCTTCATTTCTATAATCCAACACTGAGTTTGTGTATACCCTTGTCTCCAGCTCCAAAGAATGAAGTCTATTTCTTGTCTTCTTTTGATAATCACCATTTACCCAGACCTTCACTAATCTTACCGACAAGGTTGAAATATAGCACTGCTACTTGCCTTAGGATCTACAATCTTCGCACCAAATCATTACCACAGAAAAATGGGTTCTCACTCTAAAGTCCCTCCAATGGTCTGAAGTCCATTTAGTGAGAAGTCCTGCCTTGATTTCCCAAACTCACTCTGCCCAAGAAAGCACCAGTCCTGGGACTGAAGCTCCACTGGGCTTTGCCTATAAATGTGCTAGCAACTGTGCATCACATATAAAGGAACACGGTACAATGTGGCATGGATACTCAAACCTGGGTAACCAGTTCTCTCCACATTCCTTCATGCAAGCAGTAACTTAACTAGAAGCCGGAAGCTCCACATGTGCCCTTTGCCACACATGGACCTAATCACCAGTCCTGAAAGTTTGTCCCAACCACCACTGTCCATAAACTTAGCCCCACTCCAACTGAAGTTTTCAGAAACTAAACACAGGCACACAGATCCTTTGGGGAAACCAGAGAAGCACAGAATTCAATTTTCTCTGAAAAGTTTCAGGAAGAATTGAGTTTTCCTGGGTTGGAGGTTAGGTATAATCTTCATTTAAACAGAGATTACTTATGGCCTCAGAGAGCAGCAAGTAATATTGAAAAGTCAAGAAAACCTTCCAAAGATTTCTACTCAGTTGTAAATTACTAGATCTCTCCTCCCTACCAAACACCTTCGAATTCATAGGGCCTGGCCAGAACATTAGCATCTGGGCAATGCAAGAGCACGTCTGGAGCTGGGCACCAGTGGCTCATGCCTACTCAGGAGGCTGAGATCTGAGGATCGCAGCTCAAAGCCAGCCCAGACAGGAAAGTCCGTGAGACTCTTTTATCTCCGATTAACTACCAGAAAACTGGAAGTGGTGCTGTGCTCAAGTGGTAGAGTGCTAACATTGAGCTGAAGAGCTGAGGGAAAGCATCCAGGCCCAGAGTTCAAGCCACACAACCCACCAAAAAAAAAAAAAAAAAAAAAAAAGCACTATGGGAGAGAAACTTAACTAAGTTTTAGGAGCCCAACATCTTTTTTTTTTGGGGGGGGGGGGGCCCTCAGTCGTGGGGCCTGAACTCTGGGCCTGGGCGCTGTCCCTCAGCTCTTCAGCTCAAGGTTGGTGCTCTACCACTTATGCTACAGCGCCACTTCCCGCTTTTTTTTCTTTTTGCTTATGTGGTGCTGAGGAATCGAACTCAGGGCCTCATGCATGCAAGGCAAGTGCTCTACCACTAAGCCACCTTCCCAGCCCCTAGCCCAATATTTTTGTGTTGGGAAGTAAACATGACTTTGTTTCCAAAGGAGACACTAATCACCCACAGATAAACATCTAGAATCTCCTACTAGTTTTTATTGAAGAGTAAGCAGAATTCCTTGTCTGGAATTATAATTGGATATACATAGGTATAACAAAAATTTTCAGGTGTCAACTTGACTGGTATTATGGATATTCAGAAAGAAGATAAAGCATCATTTCTGGGTACATCTGTGAAGGTATTTCAGGAAGAAATCAACACCAAATTAGTGATCTGAGCAAGGAAGATCCATCCTCATTCAATTTGGATGGGCATCCTCTAAGCAGATGAGGCCTAGATGGAATGAGATGAATTTTCTGTCTTGGAGGTGGAATACCCTTGGACATGTATTCTAGGACATGTACGAATGGCCCCCAAGATTCTCAGACTTTAGCCTCAAACAACATCGGACTCCCTTCTGAGTCTCTAGCTTGTACAGCTTATTTTAAATGAGAGAGCCTCCACAATCATGTGAGCTAACATCCCTAATAAGCAATTCTCTCCCAAATTCTGTCTGAAGATCTCTGACTACTTTAATCTGCCATTAGACAAGCCTCAAATTTCAGAACAGTCAGGCATCATGCTATGCTCAATCAACAAGCAACTCCTAAAAGCAAAAAGCAAATCTCATCGGAGAGACATGTACACTAACTCATTACACTAACTCACTATAGCAGACCCCTTTATGGTGTCAACACACAGATAGTTCCTCTTCCCTTAAGTGTGCAAGACTGTGACAAGACATGTGCCAGCACACAGTCACAGTCAACAGCTCAAGGAGAACAGGAAACGGGAGGTCCTGTAAAGCTCAGGAGACAGACAACTCACAGAAGAAAAAACACTGGGAGCCAGGCACCAGTGGCTCACACCTGTAATCCTAGCTACTCAGGAGGCTAGGATCTGAGGATCACAGTTCAAAACCAGCCCCAGTAGCCCTGTGAGACTCTTATCTCCAATTAACCACCAGAAATGGCATTGTGGCTCGAGTGGTAGAGTGCTAGCCTTGAGCTGAAGAGCTTAGGGACAGGGTCCAGGCCCAGAGTTCAAGCCCCATGACTGACAAAAATAAAATAAAATAATTGGGAAATCTTTCTGAATAGCTGACCTCAAAACATACATCCTCAATAGGAAGTAGTAGTACTATCACGAAATAAGCATCTGTACAAAGAAATAATTTAAGGGCTGGGAATGTGGCTTAGCAATAGAGTGCTTGCCTAGCATGCATGAAGCCCTGGGTTTGATTCCTCAGTACTACATAAACAGAAAAAGCTGGAAGTGGTGCTGTGGCTCAAGTGGTAGAGTGTAAGCCTTGAGCAGAAGCAGCTCAGGAACAGCGCCCAGGATAAGACAAGGAAGGAAGGAAGGAAGGAAGGAAGGAAGGAAGGAAGGAAGGAAGGAAGGAAGGAAGGAAGGAAGGAAGGAAGGAAGGAAGGAAGGAAGGATTTGAAACACTGGAGGGGAAAAAACCCAAAACAAATCATTTTGGGCTTCTTGAGAAGTCTGAGGTGGAACACTGTAAGCTTACAACAAATACTGCTCCCAGTAATTTACAGCAGGGTACTATGGCAGAAACTAAGAAAATAAAGATCTCTGGGTATGGGATACATGGATCATAAAATGATGCACATCCATAATTGTGGTGAGATCCCCTTTCAAGATATCCAGTGAACCTATTCAACTGAACTTATTATTAGCCAAGGTTTGTGCACTTTTTTTTGTTCTGTACCCTCTCAATAAGCCATCACATTCTATGGACATTTAACAAAGGTGTCCAGTACTGTCACCTGAAGGCATTCTAAATTCTAAAGCCCAGGACAAAATACAAAATGAAACAAGTTACTGTCTTCAAAGAATTTTCCTCAGATGGTATAACGTGGTATGTACTTGTTCCGAAGTAGGTGATAATAATTTCTCTGTCTCACAACAAGCGGAAGGAAGACAACCCAACTAGAATGATCCCACATTTAAGTTATTTTAAGTGTATAGTTAATTATTTTACTAGAATCAATGAGAATAACAAAAAACCTGGAGATAAAAGCTGGAAAATCAGGACCCAAAAATGAAAAGCAGACTTCAGCTTCTGAAAAGTCTTTATTCCCGCCGGGCGCCGGTGGCTCACGCCTGTAATCCTAGCTACTCAGGAGGCTGAGATCTGAGGATCGCGGTTCAAAGCCAGCCCAGGCAGGAGAGACCGTGAGACTCCTATCTCCAATAACCACCAGAAAAACCGGAAGTGGCGCTGTAGCTCAAGTGGTAGAGCACTTGCCTTGAGCTAAAGAGCTGAGGGACAGTGCCCAGGCCCAGAGTTCAAGCCTCATGGCCGACCAAAAAAAAAAAAAAAAAAGTCTTTATTCCCCTCAAGTCTCTTGGCCATCATTGAAGATTCCCTGCCGGCCCCCCCCCCCCTTTTTGGATCCTTTCTAGCTCTAAATCCTGCACCCTCCTCCATATTCTAGACCCAGAGTCACCAAACAGCCTAGGTAATTCACAAACCAACATCCACTACAGCTCATCATATAAAACATGTTATCATGCATTCAAGTACATACAATGGAGGTCAATGGAGATCATGGCATCAAAGTGAGCAAAATCCATTGTCCAGTTTGGTCTTCTAAACTGTAGCAACACAGAAACAGGGAAGGAAAGAGACACGGATTGGAGATCTGGCAAGAAAAACGAGCAGGTAACATGGGCCTGAAAATGGCACTTCAAGAAGGTAAACTACTCACAAGCTACTAGGAATGACGAGCAACAGTTTTAGTCCTAAAATCAGCACAACTATTTTGGGAGACAGAAGAGAGCCAAGATATACTTCATTTTTCTGACAGCTTTCTATGTCCTTCTGCATGTTGGAGGAAACATCTTTCCTCTCAAATTTGCCACGCCCAGCATAGCCAATTACAACTGAGCATGTTCCACTTGAATACATTTTTGATGTGATTTCTTCAACTCAAGCTAATAAATCTTTGCCACTGAGCCTTCCAAATGGATAAGCCTAGGATATTAGAGAGTAAAGCTGTGGAGGAAGGGAGGTGTTTGTGCTGTTACAAATAAGATAATCCTTTAACCAAACTTGAAGAAAAGGTTGATTCTTAATCATCAGCCAGTTAAGCTGGATAGTTATTTCTCTTAGGATTTTTGGAGACATTTATTCTATGAACTATTTTCCACAGTAAAAAGGCTATGATACACTCTTTTTCTTTAGTTAAAGGCTCAAAGATTCTACCAGTTTTACCTGGGGTTCCTGGACCCATAGAGACACTGTCTGTTTGGTTTGGGTGTTAAAGTTCTAAAGCAAGACCCATCTAGTGGTATAAGACCCATCTTTCCCCCTACCTACTCCAATTGTTAGGGAGGGTAGTTTCCTAGCTCTGTTGGGAAAGAATGAGTCAAAGAAAAAGGCCTATGTTTGCAATCAGCAGAGTGCAGCTCTGGGACTCAGCTCTTTTAACCTGAATGCCAAGTGTCACTGACTCAGAAACTAAAGGGCAAAATCACAATCTAACTTCCTTCATGGAGCTTCCCCAGTTAAGCTATGCCAACAGAAATGGCATTTTGTTTGTTTGTTTGGTTGGTTTTTTTGGGTCCGGTCGTGGGGCCTGAACTCTGGGCCTGGGCGCTGTCCCTCAGCTTTTCAGCTCAAGGCTAGCGCTCTACCACTTGAGCCACAGTGCCACTTCTGGTTTTTTCTTTTTCTGCTTATGTGGTGCTGAGGAATCAAACCCAGGGCCTCAGGCATGCAAGGCAAGCGCTCTACCACTGAGCCACCTTCCCAGCCCATGTTTTTGTTTTTTTTTTTTTAGTGCCAGTACTAAGGATTGAACTCAGGATTTAGGCACTGTCCCTTAGCTTTTTGCTCAAGGCTAGTGCTCTACTAGTTGAGTCACAGTTCCTGGCATTTTGCAGGTTAATTGAAATTAAGAGTAGTACAGACTTTTCTATCTGGGCTGGCTTTGAACCTCAATCCTCAAATCTCAGCCTCCTAAGTAGCTAGGATTATAGGTATGGCCACCAGTGCCAGGCTAAAGGATACCAGAGACTGGTGAGCATTCCTAGTTCCAAAACACACACACACACACACACACACACACACACACACACACACACACACACACACACACACACGACCAGTGCCAGGCTAAAGGATACCAGAGACTGGTGAGCATTCCTAGTTCCAAAACACACACACACACACACACACACACACACACACACACACACACACACACACACACACGACCAGTGCCAGGCTAAAGGATACCAGAGACTGGTGAGCATTCCTAGTTCCAAACACACACACACACACACACACACACACACACACACACACACACACACACACACACGACCAGTGCCAGGCTAAAGGATACCAGAGACTGGTGAGCATTCCTAGTTCCAAAACACACACACACACACACACACACACACACACACACACACACACACACACACACACACACACACACACACACACACGAAAACAACAAAAAAAAAACCATACAGGCATAGAGGAGATTTTCATGCCAGCTGGCCTGGGTGCTGTCCCTCAGCTCTTCAGCTCAAGGCTAGCGCTCTACCACTTGAGCCACAGCGCCACTTCCAGCTTTTTCTGCTAATGTGGTGCTGAAGAATTGAACCCAGGGTCTCATGCATGCGAGGCAAGCACTCTACCACTGAGCCACCTTCCCAGCCCCAATGCCAGCTGTTTTTAATACCACCTCCCAAGCACACTACAGATATGTGGTGAATATAGTTGCTCAATATTGTCCTCATTATACACCGTGTACCACAGATGTTCCAATGAAACAAAAGCCAACTAGGTGCATGCCTAAGAGCCAATCACTTGGAACTGGTTTGGTTAGAATTTTCAAGAATCTTTTCAATCCATCAAACTACAAACCACAAATATTAATCATGAGCTCAACAGTTCTGAGCAGAAAATGCAATCAATTTGAGTATAGTGAGTGGAACAAAATCCCATGGGGGACAGAGAGACAAACAACCATTAAGTATAGCATGTAACAGCTTTGATAAACATCACTATCAGAACAAATTCTAGTCATAATTAAGACATCTAGATATAAAGATGATTGTTAGCCAGGTACCAGTGGCTCACGCCTGTAATCTTAGCTACTGAGGAGGCTGAGATCTGAGGATTGAGGTTCAAAGCCAGCCTGGGCAGGAAAGTCTGTGAGACTCTTATCTCTAATTAACCATCAGAAAACCAAAAATGATGCTTGTGGCTCAAAGTAGTAGAGCCTTGAGCAAAAAGCTCAGATGCAGCACCCAGTCCCTGAATTCAAGCTCCATGACCAACAAATACATAACTATTCTTTCGTTCACCAGAATGATCAAGAATAGATGGGACAGGATGATGCCATAAGTATGCAAAAGTTTCAGTTGGGCTTTATACTACAGTAGTCAAAGGAAAGGAAAAAGAAAACAAGCTTAGTAGCTTAGGAAGGACAAGTTCTATCCTTCATTAATCTGAGAACATCTATTAATATAATAAACGTGGTGGTGTGGCCAGAATCAAGACAGAGGAGTCAGGCTTCAAAGAGTTGCTGTTCTCTATTTTAAGAAGAGGGGAATAATTTGTTTTCTAACAACTTAACTACAGAATTAAAGTGCTATAAATTGCTGGAGGAATTCAGAAGAAAAATTGTGCATTTAGGTAATCAGGAAAATTTTGTGAAAGGACTTCAAGAAAGGATCTAAGTAGGCAGAGGCAGGAGGAAGGCATTTCAGGAAGGTTCATGGTGTAAACAGGACATGAAAGAATACAGCTTCCAGGCTAGTGAATAATCCGTTTTTCCAGAAGAAATCTTGGAAAGGTAAAATGAGGACAGAGTGATGGAATCAAAGACAGCTTAAAAGCCTACTTAAAGTGGTGCCTTTTATCCATTAGCAATGGGGAGTCTAGTGAATTAATGTGACTCCTGATACTCTTCTGAGATTCTCTTCTGCAGGCAAAGTGGTCATTTTTTTTAAAAACTTATCTCAGGGAGTTATGTCTTTTCTGGACCACTGAGAACACGGTTTTCAGAGTCTACTCTGCAATTATGTATAGTTTGGTGAAGGTCTACTTTAAGACCTACTTTCACAGATAACATCCGTTCTTGAGACTTAACTCTCCAAGCACCAGGCACAGTAGTACAGTTATAAAGAAACTACTCCAGGAATAAAGCTGCTTAGTGGCTGCCAGCTGGGAGCCCTGACACTGCAATCTGCTCAGCACCACCCTGTCTAAACTCCTGGCAGTGTGTACATTCACTACAGAACCCCAGGAACCCCAGCCGCACCCCCACCCCCACCCCAGGCTGCCTGGCCACGATCAAAGCCGAAAAACACCGAACAGAACACCCATCATCACTTCGGTGCCAATACCGTCTTCATTGGATTTACCAAACATAAGCAGGCAGCCTAGTTATTCGCCGCTCGCTTTTCTAAGTCGGTCTTCTAGACACTTTCAGGGAAATGTTCTGGTTAATCTGGCAAGAGTTCCACGGCCTCCCGTCGCGTGGCTGACATCGGAGCCTGTGTAAACTAAAATCCGCCCTGGCAGAATCAAGAGGGAAAACACTCACCTATTTTCTTAAAACCTGGAAGGTTTGAAGACCTACTGCACGTCCAACACCAACCCCCGAGTTCTGAGGGGATGAGATTTCGTTTTCCCTCCAAGGAATCAACGTTTTGCTCATTTTGTTTTGTTTTTTTTAAGCTGAAGCCCACAGATCCATCAACCTCCCCTCCGACACGAAGGTTGGGGCACTGCGTCCCGGCTTCACCCGCCGACCACCCGAGCCTCGACCCCCTCCCCCGGAGCCCACCCCCGGGCCGGTGCTCCCCGCCCAGGCCGCTGCACGACCCAGACCCGCACCCCCCACGCGCAGGCTCGGCTTGAGTGACCGGGGCCAGAGCCGGCGGGGCTGAGGACGCGCACTCACCTGGGCGGCGGGGAGCCGGAGGAACCGCCCCGCCGAGCAGCCCACCGCAACCCGGGTTGCACGCTGGAGGCCGCCCCGGAGGCGGCGCGCAGTGGGAGGGGCCGGAAATGTTTACAACTCGGCCGCCCGGACGCCGCAAGGCCCAGCCCGCGAGCCCAGCGCGGGAGCCCGCACCCTGAGGAGCTCGGGGCCGGCTGCCCCGTGGCTGTGCGCCTCCTCAACCCCAGGCCCGAGCTGCCCGGGCCTCCGCGCGCAGAGACCGAGTTCCCTCCCCGCGGCCCCCGCCTCAGCCCACCCCACCTCACCCCGGAACTCACCGCGGGGCGGGCGGGCGGGCTCTGCTGGGGGCCGCGGTCCCCCGCGCTACATCCCGCGGCGCTGGAGGCGGCCTGCGGCCGAGCGGCCCCGGATCTTCAGCGCCCTCTCCCCGCCGGAAGGGGCGCGCGACCACACGGCGTCACCTCCGCAGCCGCGTCACCTTCCCGAGGCTCTACCTCGCCTCTCCAATCCCAGGCATTTCTGGGTGTCCCAATCACAGGCGCGTTGCCTGAGCCCCGCATCTGACTCCGCCCAGCGACACGCCCACAAGGCAGACTCCGCCCCGCGCTTGGACACGCCCACTCCCTCGACTCCGCCCTTCCAGGGTAGCCCCACCTCCGCTCTCCCGCCAGCCCTCGCGCTGCGCAGCTTGGTCCTTGGACCATCCAATTGCAAACTCTATCTCCCCAAACGCAGGCAGCGGCGCGTGTTGGAGAAGGGATTGCGGAGGTTTAGACCGAACCCTGGGACGGAATGCTCACTTTCCGTCGTCTAGGCCAGGAGATAATTTACATCTCCTGTATTACAAAGGCCTCCAGTATTACCAACCCCTCTACAACCTCTTGGTGCCTCCCTCCCTTCTTTCTCAACATTATTTATGGTATGAATTCTGTGTGTCAGGCACTGAGCAAGGCTTTAGTTTCAGCTCCTGTTGTTTATCCTCAGGAGTGGTGAAACTGCTCCTAACCAGTCTTGCTTGAACACTCCCTGCTTCAGCTCCGGCTCCCACATGACCAGAGTGCCTGGGAGCCAACAGGCTGAATCACACGACCCAGATGACTTCAGGGACTCTTTTCTGGTTCTCCTGAGGATAGTGTGCAGCTAATGCTATTCTAGATTCAGGAAAGGAACTCCTGACGCATTAGGGCAGTGGGGTTAATTCTGCAGGTGCTGATTAAAACCGTGGGTCAGTTTCCTTTCCATAGCCAGTCTATGATCTTAAACACATTTCCTGAAGCTGAATCCCTTCTGGAAACAAAAAAAAAAGGAGAAAAAATAGTAGTACTCCATTGAGTAGCATCCATCTTTTGTCAGGATTGAGATAATTCATCCAGGCTTAGTATGATGCCTGGCAAATGGTCAGTGCTTCAAAAACTTTACCTATGAGCCTAGTACAGGTAGCTTACTTAGCTACTCAGGAGGCTGAGATCTGAGGTCATAGTTTGAAGTCAGTCTGGGCAGGCAAGCCTGAGAGACTCTTATCTCCAATTAACCACCAAAAGCGAGAAGTGGAGTTGTGGTTCAAATAGCAGAGTGCTGGCTTTGTGAAAAGCTAAGGGACAGTGTTCAGGCGATGACTTCAAGCCCCAGTACTCAAACCAAAGAAATGAACTAAAAACCCAACCATCATTATTAATGTGTTATTTGGTCTATAAAACTCTCCAAAACTTCCACAGTTCAACTGTCTTCAACTTGTCCTTTGCAAACTGGCTCTAACCTACTCTCAGGACTCATCTTCTCTCTCTGACTTGTGGGCCTCGGTGAACTTCAGGTTTTCTAAATATGACCTCCTTTTATGTTCCTTCAGGCATTTGCTTGCACATTCTTCTGTTATCTTTTGACTCTTTGATTGTCTAAAGAGCTAAGCAGTTTAAAATGCTTAGATCTAGGTCAAACAGTCCTGCACTCAGATTCAGACTCTGCCAGCTACCAATTAGCTCCATTTCCATTGGCAAATCCTTAATTTCAATTCATAAAAGCAGCATACAGTTTCAATTATACAACTTAGAGTTCTTTGCATAGTACATGGTACATGGCTAACTTACAGATGTTCATCTTCTTCTCTTCCTCTTCTGAGTCTTTCTCAACCCCTTCCCATTTATACCTTCTGTATATTACTAAAGTCGTGTTAAGAACACTGTGCTTAGCCAGGCCTTGGTGGCTCACTCCTGTAATCCTAGCTTCTTGGGAGGCTGAGATCTGAGGATCCAGGTTCAAAGCCATTTGAGGCAGGAAAGTCTGTGAGATTCTAACCACCAGAAAACCAGAAGTGATGCTGTGGCTCAAGTGGTGGAGCATTAGCCTTGAGCTGAAGAGCTAGAGATAGCGCCCAGGCCCAGAGTTCAAGCCCCTGACTGACAAAAAAAAAAAAAAAATAGAAAAAGAAAAACAAAAAACAAACACTGTGCTTGATGATTCATCACTTGGACTTTGAGTTCTTTGGGGTCCTAACACCAGCTTTGGTCACGACTGTATCCTTATAGCCTAGCTATATAAGTGCTTGGCATGTGACAAGTCCTTAATAAATGTATGTTAAGTGGATGAGGTTTATTCATTCCAGAGCCAAGGAGAGGTGGTTTCCAGATCACCATGCTATATATCTACTAGCTGCTAAGAAATGTTGATGGAAGGATGAGGCCTGGCTTAAGTGATAGAGCACTATCTTAATCTTCAGCCACACACACACACACACACACACACACACACACACACACACACACAGAAACTCACACAAAATTGATAGAATACCACTTGCAGAATTTACTGGAGAATCTGCTCTCTGGAGGAATGAATTTTGAGGGTGTCACAAGTCTTTTCTCTGGAGACCCAGGGACAGAAATAGCTTCACACAGACAATATGACCTTCCTTCTGAATTGGAAGCAGAGTTTTGTCCCTGTGAGATTAGAAAAGAACAAGGGGACTGGGAAGGTGGCTCAGTGGTAGAGTGCTTGCCTTGCATGCATGAGGCCCTGGGTTCGATTCCTCAGCACCACATAAACAAAAAGAAAAAAGCAGAAGTGGTGGCTCAAGTGGTATAGCACTAACCTTGAGCTGAAGAGCTTAGGGACAGCGCCCAGGCCCAGAGTTCAGGCCCCACGACTGGATCCCCCCAAAAAGAAAAAAGAAAAGAAGAACAGGAAGAGGCTACCTTTGTCCTATCCTGGGAGAAGGAGTGAGCTGGTCACTCTGCCACAAAAGAGTCTGGCGCTCATGTCAGATAGGCCCAGGGAAGGTCAACTCTGACAAGATATTGAAGTCTCTGTGCTGGTGATGTCAGGTTACTTTTTAAAGGGGAAGGCTCCCCTGCCTCCTGAAAAGGCAACTCCTGGAATTATTTGCCAAGTACTTTAAGGATAAATATGATAATGGAAAGGCCAAGAGAAAAAGGGAAAGTGGTGAAGTCAGGAGATCGCGGGACCACTGAGAGAGAAACTTCTGCTCTAAAGTCATCCCCTTCAACCTGCATCCTCCTTCCCCCACCACAAAAGCCTCCAGGGAGTTGAGCTCTGACTGGCTGAAACAGCTGTGGAGATGAACCCGGGTCTGGTGGCAGCTCACATTTCAGCTCAGGGCACAATTGCTCAAAGGCTCTTTGGAAGCTCTAGGAGACTCTGTGTTGGGAGGCCTTCCCTCCCAAAGTCCACAAGCATTTGGAAACAAGGACCCCAGACCCAACAAGCCCCGTGGGGACCACATCAAGGCCTCAGCCCCGTTTATTTGAGCAGCCAGAGTCTCCTTATACAAGCAGCAGTCTTAGATTATACACAGCCATTTCTTCTAGCACAGGCATGGGCTGAGACAGACAAATCTATATTTCAGACTCCTTTCTCTGAAGTCTGGAGTTCTGAGTCTGAAGTCTGAAGTCTGGAATTTCTACTAGGATTAAAGTCTACCTCTGTTAAGCCCATTTAACTTGTGCTCACATAAGCAGAATCTGCCCCTAAGTAGGCACTGAATATTAAATAAAACATTTTGTATAATGTATTCTTTCCGTGACAGGTACAAAGCCAGTGTGATGTTATATTTCTGACCTCAGAGAAGAGCTACTCCCTGGGCCTTCCTGTCACAGAGCGATTGGCAGGGGGCTTCTCAGGAATTGACGGCCTTGGCCCTCTTCTGTGGTTAGAGGAACATTGTTCCTTGGTACCAGCCAAATTGCATCTCCACATTAAGATACACAAGGCTGACGGTCTCAAGACAAGAATCAACAGTGTACAGTGTTTGAGTAGTGACTGGGAACAATTGCAGACTTGGGGAAAAGGGAAGCTTGGAGATGCTCAGTAGGTGAATCGCATCTTTTGAGAGTAGCCAAGTTTGTCCAAGTTTGGATGGCAGGCCAGCTGCACCATTGGGGGTGGCCCACAGAGCAGCAGCAGCACATCATCTCCTGGAGGAGGTAGGTGCTCCCGGAGCATGTCAGCAGTCACGAAGCCCTTGCTGTAGGCCCAATCTGAAGTACAGGAGAGAAGAGAAAAACATTGCTCCAGACCCATGTTAGCAATGAAATGTGGAACCATGAAGACTGCTCATTGGGAAGGGCCCTGAGGGGCTCCTGAGATGGGCTCAGGTTGTAGCAGCAATTACATTCATTCATCCTTACCATCCATCTGGTAAGCAGGAACAGAAAGGAAAGGGACGACCAGGAGAGCAGGGTGTATGCAGTCAGCTTTGGGGCTGTGGCAGAGTCAGGGAAGGTTGGTTTCCATGAAACCAGAACTCAGAAGGGCAAGGCCTTGATTTGGATAATGAAGGACTATTGGGAGGCCCAGGAATGGGGAAGATACCTTTTGGAGGATGGTCCAGAGTGAACCAAAGCTTAAAGCGATTAGGATATTGGGCCTGCAGCTCTTCTAAGTCCTCCCGCAGGATTATATCCTTTTCAGTCTAAAATACAATAGGGAAGCAAAGGTTTATAAGTATCCACATGGAATAAGTTTTCTGCTCTAACAACTTTCCAACCAAGAGAGAGAAAGAATGCTAATGACCTGCTAAAGTTCAAGAGAATTGGAACAAATGCTATGCTTTCAGGAGCTGGGATGGAAGGAACATCTATTATTTACATATTATAAAGGAATAAGGATGGAATAGTTTAACCAAGAAGAGCTACATTTCTATGTTCAGCCTGAGATGCATTAAATCTTTTCATCTTTCCTTGAGGACCTGAGAAGAAATATGTCCCAATGCTCAGTAGTCTTTCTTCCTTATTATAATAAAGAGTCTTATGCCTTGCTGAGGGCAAGAAACTAGTACAGGCCCTGAGTCTTGTTGTCCATCAGTTCCATATCTTTCAGCCCTACAAAGTTGCTGTCCAAGGTTATACAGCAACTTTGAAGTCCCAGCACCGAAAAGCGCAAACCAACCTGGTTAGCAAAAAGCAGAAAGCACTGAGTCGGATCTTCAGGGACTTTCAGGATGGCCCGGATCAGCTGTAGCATTGGCGTGATTC